ACTGTCCAAAAGTGGAACATACAAGAAATGGTTATAAAATAAAAAGTATGTTACTTAATCTTTTAATTTGAGCATTTAATTCTTAGGCAGTTTAAGCTTCCCATCTCAAATAAAAAAAACAGGAAGTTGGTAAGGAATCAAAACAAATACAAAACAAAATCATATGATAAACCTTGGATGAGCTCAGTTTGAAAAACAGCCGATACTAGGCTGTTCTCTACATCCATTCTGTTCCTCTGCTTGGTTTTGATGTTTGTCCAAGCTGAACGGGAACCCAAACATATAAGAAAAGCTTTTTGGTTGATAAAAGCTTGTTTGTTTTTTTAATTGGCTCCTCACAAAACAAAAAAGATTCCAGCCCTATTTTATTTTCCCACCTAGGAAATTTAAATACTTTCATGTACCCCTTGCAATGCCCTCGCAGACCACTAGGGGCAGGCGTACCCCTGGTTGGGAATCACTAGACTAGAGCACCCCTGGTTTACATGCTGTGCAGGACAACCAATCAGATGACACAGCAGCAGAGTCCAGTATCTCATAATGTAATTAAGCCCAGGTAGCAATAAAAAAAAATTATTAAAAGATAATTTCCATGTATGATTTTCCAACATATATCTAATAAAGGAGACAAATATCTGAATGATAAAAGCAGGCGTTTAAAAAAACTTTTACAGGCAATCATTTCATACCATTAAGACAGTATTTGATAGTATGACAAAGAAATACCCACTATCTTCTTAATCACTTTAAAAAGATTTCATTTTTAATTTTAACTTTTTTTTTATTTTTAACTTTTTAAAATTCCAATTAAATTTGTTATCAAATACTGCAACCCTATTCCTCAGTTAAACTTCTCCATTTAAGAAATTTCTCATTAAATTAATTATAAAAGGTGCTCTTTTATCAATACACCAATTCAAGTAAAAAAACAACAAAAAAATCATATAAGTACATTTTTGTATTTTCATTCGTTTGAAAATAGTTTGGGCCACCAAAAAATATTTTGGGGCTTTCATTTAAATACATGAAATATCATGTCTAAAGCTGAACAGTTTATTCTTCTGTTACTCAAACTAAATGTGGAATAAATTTGCTTATCTGAGACCTGGCTCTATAAAAAGGCCCTCTGCACAGCTCTTATCATCCCAGGATATAAAAAGTTTAGGAGATACGGGAAGAGTAGAGGGGCTCGTTGATTATTCACTGAATCTCTATCCACTTTTATCCACGTTTTCCCATCTAAATGTGTTCTACGGATAATTTAGAGCAAATTTAAGGTTACAGACTCTGAAATCTTACAGATCTAATCACTAAAATAATAATCCTGTGTATAAAATTTACATTTATGATAAAAAAGAACATCCATACTATTAACATGTGAGTGGAAGTACCATCTTTATGTAATAATATAATGAAAATTAACTTTTAAATCTTAATTTAAATAAAGTTTGATATCGTGTTCGAATAATATTTTAAGTTTTTCAGTTCATGGTTTCAAATGTATCACTGATTCATGTAACGATAAACCCCCAAATAACCTGCAGTCTTACAATGTGGTCAAAGATATGTAAAATAAAGTTAAAAGAAAAACGTTTTTTATACAAAGAAACAGTCATTTTTGTTGTATTTACCCATTTTATTTGTAGCTTCTAGCTTTAGAATATACTGTATGAGAAGTGTATACATTTATTACAATATATCTCTTGGTCTAAAAAGTATTTTCTTTAGAAATCATCCTAAAAATGTTATACAAATAAATAGATTCAATATTATGATTTTTCTTTTCTTAATTTAAGAATGAGGCTTCTAGTGAGAGTTTTTCAGTTATGCCAGTTAATTATATAGTAATTCTTATTGTTGGCAGTCTGCATTTATCTTCAGCATCCCATTGATGTCACGTGACCCTTGTGCATGGCAACCACTGGCAACGTGCTATAAAACACTACACGCACAAATGCTCTGTTTACATTGTAATTAAGAGCTGGTGTTTTTAGTAGCCTTATATTGTTGCCATTACGGCCTCCACTAGAATGCTAACTGGGGTAGAAATTTTCCGAGCAGATAAATGAAACGCATGACTTTGCTTTTGGTCTCGAGGCACTACAAATGTAACTGCGGGCTTTTCTCTTTTAACTTTCAGTTTTGATTTCTCGAAAGTCCCTCCTGGTTAATGAGTCACTCGGCATTGGATAGGGAGATATTACCCAAGAGGGTTCATCTGGATAATGAATAAAGCACTTGCTAGCTGGGAGCTAATATTAGCCTTAATTTTTTTTATATCAATCCCCTCTTTCAACCTCCTGCGCCTTCTATAAGCTAGCTGGCTAATTCAGCTAACCACGAGCCGGCTGGGAGGCGACTCATTATAACCAGGGGTAACCCAGGGTGGGAGTCAGCCTCTTCACAGAAAGATGCTCTATATCTGGGTTTCTGCCTCAGCAGTACCAGTGCTCTTCTCTTACAGTTAATTCGGCCTGCGGTTAAACAAGAGACACCGGGTACAGAGCGGCGTGACGGCCTCCGGTCCGCTGATGAAACCACCTTGACTAGATCAATCTCCACACCGGGTTTAATTCGTTCCCGCCCGGCCTCCCCTCCGAACCCCGTCATAGATACCGTACCTTGTATGAGTCTGTCGCTAGCAATAAATTGAAGTCGGTTTCTCTGTGCTCCATCTTTCCACTCCTCGGTTGTGAGTCGCGGCTGTCAGTGTGTTGTGTTGCGTCGCGCGCTCTCTACTGCCAGAGGCACCAGATAGTGGGGAGGGGAAGGACAAGCGGACGGAACCGGGCGGGAAAAGGGGCGGGGTTTGGGTCGTCAAAAAACTCTGTTCGGTTACTCTCGGCAACGTTCGGGGAAAACAGAGATCGTCTATACGAAGACGTCACGAGAACCCCAAAATATAATATAGAATTATCGGTTCAATGGAAATTATGTTTAATACCTATTTTCAAAAGGTATCTGTTGTGTACTTTATGAGACTCACCTAATTTTTTATATAAGAAAACCACTATATATAATATATAAATATAATTTTATTTCTTTAATACAGTTTTATTAAAACTCACAGGATAACGTTAATTAATTTGTATCGAACAAAGTTGCTGTTGGTTTTTGGTCCTATTGGTCGGTGACATTACTGAATCATCTTTAGAAAAGTTAAGAATTTTATGTGCGCTTTTTGAAAAACACCACAAGGTGGCAGCATTGTAATGTGTAGTACTGTGACTGACTAAATGGCGTGTAAGTTCAACATCGTTCAACATTTTTCCTATGGCTCATAAACTCCATATCGTCATACAATCCATATTAACACGCATCATAAAAGTACGGAAGAGGATTAGGGTCACTGAGAAAATAAAAAAGAAGTTCACTGTTTTTTACATTCACTGATTTTTACATTTCAATTTAATATGGGAAAAAAGTCATTATTCTGAGATTAAAGTCGGAATTCTGAGAGAAAAAGTCAGAATTCTGAGAGAAAAAGTCAGAATTTTGAGATTAAAGTCAGAATTCTGAGATTAAATTCAGAATTCATTCTGACTTTTTTCCCATATTAAACTGAAATAAAATGTAAAAATCAGTTAACTTTTTTTTTTTTTTTCAGTGGCCCTAATCCTCTTCCGTATAGAAGGGCTTTAATAAAGGTATTAATGCTTTAGGAGTCCCCCCCCCCAAAAAAAAACAAAACAAAACAACAACAAAAAAACAAACCCAAGTGTAACTTTAACTCCTACAGAGTTGAATATAACTCTGTTAATAAGGGCTGGTTCCACTCCAAATTGGTGTTAAATTTCCTCTGTAGCCAGTTTACTGTGTAGACCAATTTTTGTGGTGCAGATGAATGCCCTTAACATGACAGTGAGAAGATATAAAACAGTAAATGAGTGAAACCATAGGCCTCTATATTCCCCCAACCAGTCTACAACAAGAAGCATGACATAAGGCGTAGCCAGAGCTATGAGCTACCTAACAATTACAACAACAACAAAGTAACAGCATTGTAGAAAATGTGTTGAAAATTGACTCGTCACAAATTTTATGGTCAGCAATTTAACCTGTCAATGAGTCAGAGTGGAGGAGAAATATATGGGCTCCATGAGTGAATGAGCACAAAAATTGGGGCCCTTGTCTAAACTGGAGATGGTAGATTATAAATCCCCTGAAACCAGGAGACAGGGATTGTTTATAATAGCAATGATAGTAATGATGAGGTCAATTATTGTTATTAATCATTAAAATCTCAGCTATACATAGATATAGATATATATATAGATAGATGTAGATAGATGTATATAGATATATGGATAGAGAGATATATATATAGATGAATAGATATAGATGGATAGATGGATATGGATAGATGTAGATATAAATAGATGGATGTAAATAGATATATTGATATAGATGAATAGATATAGATGGATATGGATAGATATATATCGATAGATAGATGGATATGGAGGGAGATAGATAGATAGATAGATAGATAGAAAGATAGATTAGATGGATAGATAGATGACATTCACCTGCTCGATAGCACAGATACAATTATATAAAATAGAATAAAACCACAAAATTAGATAATACAAAAATAGTAAAAACAATATAAAAACACTCAGTCCTTCAACAGGCATTACAATGTCAAATAGTCCAATAAATATATAAAATAAGAACTAAACAATTCAAGTAAAAAAAAAACAAAAACAAAAAAACACCAATTATAGGAACAACCGCTCCCGGTTTTAATTAGTCGCTGTTTAAATTTGTAGACCTGTTGATTAGATCATACCATTCATCTAAAGTATATGTTCCTCAAAATCAACAGTTTTACCCTTTTGCCAAGATAGATTAAAGGTTTTCAGAATAATTTTATATTTGTGTATCTGTTAAACTAGTATTTTATTTATTATATAGTCTGTTTTAGAACCAAATGCTACTCTAAAGTTGTGAGCTCTCCTGCGGAATGCTGCAGCGTTGCAGTGAGACATTCCATCGCACCAATGGCAGCAGGTCTGTGTGATCCCAGGAGAGGGTGTGGTTAACTCAGAAACAGCCTGCTGTTTCCGCATGTTATTAAAAATAAGTTTGACAAGTCCAGAGGAAGTATGATCTAAGCTTATCCGTGCAGTCTGTAGTTTAGCCTTTTCTTAAAAACCCTCTGGGTCACATGATGTGAGCGGAAACCAGATGTAAGCTGCCTGAGTTTAAGAAGGAATCTGTTTTCTGCGAGCGGATTTGGAGAAAACAAACAAACAAACAATACAGCGGACTGGATGAAGCATGTTAAAGCTGAAGCAACAGTTTGACCTGCAGAGAGATGTGGTGTTTGATCTCCTCAGGAAAGAGGCTTCAGTCTGCAGGGTGAAAGGTGAGGCGTTCAGGTGTTTGCAGAGATATTTGGCAAAAATAATAATTGAACTTATATGTCTAAGCTTAAATATACAATCAACAATTATTACTCAACTATCTTTAAAAAGTTTTAATCAGCTAGAAAGAAATCAGAGCAGCTGTGATTTGTTATATAGCCATCTTGATAATGCGCATAATCAACAGCAGGTGGAGCTGTTTGCCCTTTTATAAAGCGGAAACGTTATAATAATTGTTATAGCTGCAAATAATAGTAATAAAGCATTTGTATACATACACTTTTCACCAGTTTTTAAAATTTTGTTAAAGAAAATAGGTATATGTAGAGCTCTATCTGTCATGCTGCATTATATAAATTGCCTGGATGGTTTTAAAATAATGCACTTCAAATCACAGATCTTTTATATATTAACTTTTTTCTTTGTCTATTTTTTTTTAACTATTTTAAAATTAGTGAGTAATAAATTGTGTACATTGAAAAATATATACATGATTTTGACTCTGATTCTATGGAGGCTACTTTTTACCATTTATTTCAATGTATTTTAAAAGGGTTTTTATACTATGGAAAGTAGTAAACAATTTTGAAATGAGAGAAATCATCTTAGATTCTTCTGAATAATTTTATTAAAATGAATAGTGTAACATGTATTTATAGTCATCCCCTTTTTAAAGTCTACCTTTAAAAAAATATCTGTTAGAAAACAGTCTAGAGAAAAAAAGCTTAAATGGTAAAACATGGTGGTGGCAGCATCATGCTCTATGAAGAAGATTCATCAATAGGGACAATAGATCAGGTTAGAGTTGATAGGAAGTTAGATGGAAATAAATGCAGCCAATTCTTCAGAGAAAACTTATTAAAAGCAATGCAGAATCCATCAGATGAATAACATCTAGCCATTTTATTTAAATAAAGTATTATTGTTTTAGGAGTGCCCAGTCAAAAGCCAAATGTAAATCTTGTTGAGAATATAAGTAGAACAGTTTAGGGGGGTATGAATTCTTTGCACGGTTTGATAATAATACTGTACCACCAGAATACTCAGAGGATGTGGACCCTCGAATCCTTAACACTGAACGAGATGGGAGTATGCTTTATTCTTGGAAGGTAAGCTCTATATTTGATTGTTTTTACATTCTGCATGAGATTCACTTTAAGCTAATTTCATTCTATAAACTTTTCCCTTCTAGGTTTAAAGCCGTTTCATGCATGCTTAGTTTTAAGGCTTTACACAACATGATACATGTGATCATTCTTGTCCTCTGTGAGCAAAGCACTTTATAATTAAACATTTTTATTGATCAGAATACTGATATAAAAATGCCGTATTATTTATGTTGCTCTTTCACTTGAAGTATCTTAATATGATCACATTTTAAAGGCTGCTTCATCCTATATGGAATAGCTCATAGCACACCATTCCTGTGTGTGTGTGCTATCAAATGAAAAAAAGGGAAACTTTCTCTTTATTCTGCTATAAATCAGCTTGACACTTTTGGGTATTTTTGGGATCGTATCTAGAATTGGAAACTAGTCTGCTCTTTTGCTTCACAGTATGAATATTTAATGATAGACCCCCTAAAGAATGTGCAGCTCTTAGAGGTTGAGGACTGTCATGTCTTCTGAGTGCCTGAGTTTGGGATTTTCTTTCGCTAGTCCGAGTGTACTTCACTTTTTAGGTATTTAATTTGATTAAATAACAGATTTTATTACATGACAGTAATGTCTTTTATTGCATTCTGGTTATATCCAAATGGAAAAATAGAGCCATGTGCTTTTAGCAGATTAGGAACATTAAGCAGATGTCAAAGTTGGGTGGAAGTTGGTTGAGGACCCAAATGCAGACATGAGGGAGGCAGGGTTGAGTTCTTGCAGGTTTAATGAAATCAAAAAAGAGAACAGAAACAAACTCCAAGAATAAAATACAGGAAATGAAAGAACAGGAGACGTCAGAGGAAAACACACATAGGGAGCCAGGTAACAAGAAACCAGCAGTGAGGAACTGCAGTGGAGGTGTTTATATGGGGGATAGAACAAGGAATGGACTAATGAGCTAATTGGGAGCAGGTGTGGATAGAAGTAACTAGAAGGGAGCTAGGGGAAAGGAGAATGGCACAACGGGGTAACAGAGAGTAACTCAAGAAATACAACCCAGCTTAAATATAACACAAAACCACTGACCCACAAAACAGAATGACATAAATAACTGAAAAACTCAAAAAGAAGTCCAAAAGGGGAGAACCATAACACCAGAGCATATTAATACAGGAAGTGGGTGCTACTTAAACTGAAGTCCCCTTTTATGGCGCCTGAAGATAAAGGAAATAAGTTCATCTTGGCCCCTTGTTTTGTATACAGATGAGTTCCTGGTTGACCCAAAAATTGCAATGAAAACTCCTCCTACAGTTGCTGTTGATTAAGCCCAAATAATCATTCCTCTGCCACCATATTCAGTAGTTTTTTGTCCTTAGTAAGCTCTGATTTTGTACTATCAAACACCTAGCAGTTTGCTTTTAATTACTGATCAGTTAACATTTTATTAGCAGCTCCTGGTGTTTAGCTCCTTAATTCTTTAGAAAGAGAAATGATTAACTTGAGGTTTTACTAGATGTATAGTTTTATTAGATGTATAAGAAGCTGCAGTATCCCTTTAACCACACATGCTTGATGACCCTAACATAATATTCTGTTCTGTTCTTAAAAGGGAGCAACAGGCACCACCAGGATTGGGAAATATGACCCCAACACTAAACAAAACAAGGTGCCCAGTTTGTTTATACAGAGTTCTCCATTAGTGCTGCATCTAGTAGCTGCAGACCTACACACTGAATCCTGTGTATTTTGCCCCGTCAGCTCCTCTACACTTTCGACAAACAGGTGTGTGTCAGCAGCTGCTCTTTGAACAAGGAGGAGACATTATTAGGTGAGCTTCTGTCATGCACGAATGCAGATCTAACAGCAGGAAAAGTCATTCTGTAAACCTGATTGTCACCCTCACATCAAATGTAAGGGTGTGTATGTGGAGAGCCACTCAGGTGTAAGACTTTATGCTTTTATAATAGAGGAAATGTGTTAAATAAAACCAGGGAAGAAGCTTATATATTCTGTGCAGGCATGGCAAAGCATAGTTAATGAATACAGATATTTTTTTTTTCTGCAGCATTACGTTGGCCTTTTCTTTTATACTTTCAGCTGTCAGCTTGGCACAGAACACCAGGGGACAGGAACGACTCAAACCAAGTAACATCCACCATGCTGCTTTTTAAAATTCCTGCCCTTTAAGTGATTTAAAACCTTTTTAGAGGTAACAGGAGTTTTTATTTTATTTTAATGAACATTTCTTCGCATTGCCTATCTGTCTAGTATCAAAGTGTCTGACTCTGCTGATTGAGATCCATCCCATAAACAACACCAAGGTGCTCAAAGCAGTGGACTGCAGAGTTAAAGTACAGGTATGGTTTAAACATGTCGCCTGATTTCTCTTTTTAAATATGGATTTGATCTCAGTTAAAGCTAAAAATCAAATTGTAGAGTTCCTGCAGGTATTTTCAAGAAAAGGAAATCAGGGATTGGTTAGAAGCATAAGGATTTATGTAGGACTGTTACTAAATATTATTTCGCCAATTGATTAATTAATCTGTCAATTATTTGTTTACTTAATCGATTAATAATCAGATAGCAAAGGGCGACTTAAAGAAGAATTAATACAGAATTAAAACCTGGTGAACCTGATACTTCATGCCATATAAGAAGTTTTGGATAGATTCTCACACTAAAAAAGGTTTTTATCCTAAATGCAAAGTGTTTATACATGTTTTACAATTTTGCCATCCTTTCTACCCTGATTAGGTTGCTCTTTTAGCTAATGATGTGTCAGATTCTGTACATTCCAATCAACGATTAATCACTTGCTGAAATATTTGACGATTATTTCAATAATTGATTCATCAAAATTAATCCAATTAATTGCTTTAGCAATCGATTTGAATTATTTAACTGATATTAATTGTGTAAACCCATCAAATTGGGTATATAGAATATAAGAGAAAAGTCAGAAAAACAGCAGTGTTTTCCTCGTTTTACAAAAATAACTTTTTTTCTAAGGCAATATCAGTAGAAGTAAATTATATGTTGTAAGGGGCTTATTAATGAAAAATTCTATGCATGGTATGTTGGCTTTCTTTAATATGCATTATGTTTGTTGTAGTTCCTCCATCAAGAAACTGACTGGAAATCGGGGCTGGAGAGCCATCTGCTTCTGTTCGCTGAAGACGGATGTCAGTTCTAGCTTTTTTCCTCTCTTTGAAGTGTATATTTAAAAAAATCCGCTGCAGAATACATGATGAAAACAGACAGAAAATCTAAAAAAAGAAAAGAAAAAACATATTGAAACATTGAATTATTGACGTTTCAGATGTGGATCTATACCATGTACTTTTAAGCAAACATGAAGGCTACAGAGTGGTAAGTTATACAATTCTTCCAACTTCTTTTGTAAAACAGAAGTCATTTGCATTCAGGTTGCCCTGTCTGATAAATTGTGTGGACATTTCTCAAGCCTAAGAAAGCACACGTTCAATGGATAATTAGGAAAAATCATTGTAATGCATTTACCAAAGCTGTGAGCAAAGAATACTGTTTCAACATGAGCCATAATATTATGAGTGTGTTATCCTCTAGAGGAGATTTCGCATTATAAATTTGGTGCATCTGCAAGGCTGAATACAAATGTATGTGTACCAGGTGATCTCAAATCCCGAGCGCTTGTCCAGAGCGGCGGAAAAGATTGTAGAGGATTTCTGTTGGGTCCAGTGGGACGGACACACACAAAGGCTTTACTATCTCACTCGCAAGGTGGTGCATAACAAATACCTGCTCCTTAGTCCTTTTCCTCCTGATTAAAAAGCTGTAAATAAAACAAGCTACATAAATATATTATTCGCAGGACAAGTTCCTGCTGAGATGCATTCAGTTCCACCCAAGCCATAGCTGTGATACTGTGGTAGGTAATAATATAACGTTAGAAACCTTTTGTGATTTTCACCACTGTGCGTTAGCATTCACTAATTTTCTTATGCCGTCTAAACAGTTGGAGCTCGTTTTAGAGTTGCCTGCTAATGCTTTTTGCACAGTAAGGTAAGTAAGGCATTGCTTTTGCCTTGCAAAACCAATCTGTATTCTGCATTGATCCTGACCTTGAGTGTTGGCTGTGTGTGTTTGTGTCCAACAGATTTGTAAGTCTGGGGTTTGACCACTATCATGTGGAAAAACCTGAGCAGGAGCTTGTTAGGATGCAGGTCTTCACAAACCAAATCGGTAACATATTTACGTCCTTTGTTTTCACATATATTTATTGTTTGGGGGGAAAAAAAAGCAGGTGTAATATTTTTGTTTCTATTTTTTGTATTATTTTTTAAACACAGCACATGGTAGAGGGTTTTGTTGCAGTGACAATTTGTCGCATTACAACCACAAATATCTTTATATGTAAACTAAGAAAAAGCTAAATTACTATGAAGCGGAAGGAAAAGGACTCATGGTTTTTCAAATTTGTACAATTGCAAACATACTCCAGGGAAACAAGCCCACAATGGCAGGATTAATCTGTAGGTGAGGCTTTTCTTCTATACTGAGGTTTACAGACGTGCTATCCAGCCAGTCCGAATCAGCTTGAGCTATTTTGCCCTAAACACTTTTATAACAATTTCAGTCACTGGATGTGTAAATGTAACAGATTTAGCCCATTTTGTCAGGCTCAGAACAATAGGACCAGTATTCGAGGCAGAAAGATAGTTAGACCTAACAAAACGGGTTTATTGAAGGCAGAACTGCAGTGAACAGCTTTGGTGTCTAAATGCAGGGACCTCTGCAGGAGGAGACAACAATTAGTGACCATGTCCATCTGGCAGAGGATGATTATGGACGTGCGAGTCACTAACCTGGTCTTATAGCTTAGTCCGAGCCCATAGGAATAGGTTGGTTCCAGCTGGTCGGCTGACAACGAGACGCGGCCAGCGCCTTCCAGAGAGTCCCAGGCGCTGGTCTCTGGGAGGTTGGATGACAGGCAAGAGATCAGAACGGAGCAGACCAAGAAATGCAGGATAATCCAGAGGGTGGAGTTTTGGCCGGTGTCGCAGAGGTGCTCAGTAGCCAGACCCAGGAGTTTAGAGGTGCAAAGAGGTACCAAAGGGAAATCCAGGGCGGTGTCAGGAATCAGTTGCAGGAGTCAGAAGACAGGTCAGGCAAAGAGATCAGAACAGGAACAGGCAGGGTTAGAGGTCCAGAGGCAGAACGGTCAGGATAAGGAAATCAGTAAACACGGGGACGCTAGAGAACTCTCCCCAAAGGCTCAAATATTGTGGCACTGATGACTGGTCTGAAGGCTGGTTAAATAGAGGCTGAAGCAGGTGGATCAGATGAACGGTAATGAGAACTGGGTGGAACTAGGTAGGTGAATGAAATGAGTCATCAGCACCAAGATCATGACAACTGTGGCTATTGTACGAGGCATTTCCATAACGTATCGATTACTGGGTTTTATACAAGTGCAACTCTTTTCCTTTTTATTGTAGATATGAAAAAAGACATGAATCCTTTTCCTTCAACACTAATTTGTGTTAATTTATCGTTTAAAACCCTAACAGATTTGAACTTTGTTTTTACAGCATGAAAAAAATGTTAATGGTTTAAATGGATATACATCATTTTTCCAGACACTGCATTTTCTCAATCACAAAAATCATTTTGATGAAACATTTGGAAAAAAGAGGAAGAACTTATTTCAAAATTCTTTTATGATAAATAAATGCAATGGAAAGTAGGAAAACACCTTGATCTGTTATTCTATGTGGAAGTTGATTAATTATTATACTGCAAAATTCCACTAAAAATATTAATAAGTGGGAATATATGTTCTTAGGTGACAAATTCATAAATTTACAATAGGACACTTTAAATCAGGAAATTGTTTTTTTTTCTGTTATCTTTTTGGTTCTGTATTTTTGGTTTATGTTTTTTCGTCAACAACAAAGCCTCAGTCATGGTCTCCCCACTTGCTCTGTCTTTTTTTTATTTATTTATTTTTTAGATCTATGCCTTAAAGAAAACAGAACAAAGCATCTATAGAAGTTGTCAGGGGCAAAAAAAAAAAGATCAGTTCTTTACAGAATCCACTGTGGTGTTGGATTCTTTGTTCATCTGAATTATATTTACTTTATTTATAAGCTAGTGATACAGATGTTCTTAATGAGGTGTAAAGGCTTTAAATATATAATTTCAAAACCCAGAAAGTTGAAGGATAGATAGGAAGAAATTACATATAGGGGTGGGTGGAAAAATGAAAGGAACATATAGACAATAAAATCTGGAAATACCAACATTTTTCAATTATTTTTTATTTTTGTAACTATTTTCAACATTGTGCTTTTTGCCTCATCGCTGTGACCTGAATTGTGAAGAAATATTTTATTTTTAAACATTTATTTCATTTTGCAAACACAAACCTACAAAACATCTACAACTGTAATTCGGGAGTTTTTGTTAAATAAAAAGAAGGTTTCTATGGAAACAAAACCAAACAACATCTTGTTAAACCGTTATGTGATGCATGCATTTATTTGAAGCTTCATATTCTCCTTCTTGCTCTTTTATTTTACAAATGTGAGATAAATAAATTGTTTGGAAGTAGATTAGAAATTCCAGTAGATTTGTTATAATCTAACTGATTTGTGTTCTGGTTTGACCTTTTAGGAAGCATGTGTATTTGCTACAGTCAGCCACTAAAAGAAAAACAGGAGCTGACCTACACAGTGGTTTTAGTTCACAAAGGTGAGCACTGTTTTACCTCTTTCCTGGACTTATTTCATCCTCAGCATGGAAAAATATTTGGTTCCTCTCACTTCACTTCTTTAGGTTGCAGCAAGAGGTTCAGAGTGTCTCCTGGAAACGACAAACCGTCACAGATTTCACACCAGCTCCATCCGCTCTTCATCCCCATAGGTCTCTGCACACACAATATAGCATAAACGAACACCAGGATACTTTTAAGATGTAAACTTTACTGTAAAAGGGAAGGAAAAGATAACAAAACGTATAAAAAAAAAGTTGAAAACAAACCACTGGACTTTGTTTTCCAAGTTTGAAAAATGTTTTTCTTCCAATTCAGGAAGCTTTCTCAATTCAAAAAGTCTGGAGTAGCATTAAGCTCCAGGCTTTAATAGAGTAACCCAACAAAAGCCTTGTTATGTCTTAGAAAACCTGCAAATTGAACCGAAACAGGTCCACTCCTTTGTAATGGGAAGTCGTTAGGGTCGTTGTTTGACCACCTTCATGGTGATGCAGATTGAGATGACAGTGAGAAGGAATCAACTCTAACGCTGCATTATAGGTTTTTGAGAGCTGAAACCTGAGTTCTCCCCTTCCAACCCTAATGATTCCCCATTACAGAGGCATGGGCCAGTTTGGGTTATTTACATGCCAAGAACGACCTTAACATCTCCCCATTACAAAGGGCTGGACCCATTTTGGTTCAATTTGCATGTTTTCTAAGCCATAACAAGGCTTTTTTTGGGCTGTTCTATAAAGCCGGATAGTACTCTAGACATTTTGAATTCAGAAAGCTTCCTGGATGGGATGTAAAATGTCCTCAGACTTAGAAATAAAAGTCCAGTGTTTTTTTTAAACTTTTTTTTTGGAATGACTGAGAATCTTCACCAGCATTAAACGAGATGTATTATTTGCAAATACATGATTGGAGAATCAATTAAAATCCCAACAATAACATATTAGATTTGTTTTTGTAAAAGGAAAGAGAGTATGAAATGGTTGTGCAGGATATTTCGATTTATTTGTAGAAAAAAACTCTGGTTTTTGCTGCTTTTGCAAAATAAACAAACAAAAAAATCCCAAAAATGCACCAAAAATTTGACTTTGTTTCTTTTACATGCAGGTTACTACATCCTGGTGTATCTGCAGGGTTATTTCCTCCACTGCATCAACACCAGACAGCATGAGATGCTCTGTCATTCTCTTTTTCTAACTGGTAACTCAAATCAAAGCTTAGTGGTGGCTGCACATAAAAATGGATTTATAAGCATGTTTCTCTGTCTGTTCCAACCCTCTTAAGGTCAGGATGATAACTTAGGCCTTCCGTATCAGTCAGATGCTCTCACGGTGATGCACAAAGAAAATGAAACAAGCGTTCATCTTTTGGAGCTGGCAAGTGGGTCAATTCACACAGCTGAGCTTAGCCCTGCTTACCTGCTGCAGATACTGAGATCAGACACACGTCCTGGGTGAGTTGCATGCAAAACATTTGTCTAGAAATACAGGAATTGTGACTCAAATGTCCTAAAAATAAGCAGACAAAAAAATACCAGAGGGTAGTTTCGGAGGAGCATTGCGAGAAAAGAAGCAGTCAGGTGGAAACAGAGGGTTATTTTCTTTTTGGCAAAAGTTATTTTTGTACGTATACACTTCCAGAATGTGAAATATAATCAGTGTTTGGAAGCCGACAGCTTGGAAAGAACAATCCGACTCAATAAAGATGTATCTGGGTTTCTTTCCTCTGTGTACCTGTGAGTCAGCATTTCATTTGGATTTCTGTTTTACCAAACATGCATGTGGAAAACCTTAAAACGTATTCACACCCCCTACATCTTTACACATTCTGCATAACATAACTATGAACTTTGAAAATATCAGAAAGTAGCTCTAAATGAGTCAGGTCTGAACTTTGACTAGACCATAAAAAAAGAAGGTGCACCTCTGTCTAGTTTAAAAAAACTTTTGAAGCCAGTAACAGACTTTCCAGTATGTATTTAGCTCTAGATTCATCTGTGGATAACCCTGACTTGCTTCCCTCTCCCTGAGGCACATCCACACCAGGATGCTGCCGCCACCATCTTTCATGATATTGATGATATTGGCTCTATTTCTACATCTTCAAATTCTTGAGGAAATTGTTTGTTTAGGACTTTCCACCAAAGCATTACTTAGATTATTGTTTGTAAAAAGGATTTATGTCCGTCTCTATATATACCTGTGTCTTGTGTTGCATATTAAACTAATAGTGGTATTATGTCAGCTTTTAGCCTCTTTATCTGCATCCACTTATGTTCTAAATGCAATTTTCTTCTTTTTCACCTTTGCCCAAGGTGTCCCCGCAGCTGGACCGACCCTCATCGCCTGGCTGCCCTCCACTGCCTCCTTGTTTTCATGGGAGATGACCCGAAGCTGGAAATAAAGGTGCAGATGCAGACAGTATAACAGAGTGTGTGGACAAATATATTGACCTCTAAAATCCATAGTCACAGAGCTCACTCTTGCATTTGGCAATGCATTTCAATAATATCTGTGGAAAATAAAATCAAGAGAAACAAAGCCATTGATTGCTGCTGGGTTTTGGGCAACACAAGATCAATGCGCTCTCCTTGAGGCAAAGAGGGAGGGTGGAAATAAGGAGGAAGAATGCATATACAGTCACTTTCAGACACCTCTCCTCAAGGAAAATTGATTCCATGGGAGTAATTCATAGATCCCATTAAAATCTCCCATTTTCTGCACTTCTGTATACAAGCTGTAGGTGTCAACCTTGAGTTGGTAGAAAAAAAGGCAGCAGAAACATAAACATTACATGATGTTGTGATTAAACCAGTGAGAGGAGAAGACAAGTGGGAGTCAAAGACAGAAATAAACGGCTTGATATTTGGTTTGGACACCATGCCGAGTATGACTAAGACTTTATTAGTATTCCATCGAAAATGCGATATCCCAGCTGCCCTTGCAGATGAAATGAATTATGTATTCAAAGGTTAAATGACTCAACAGCTTCATTAGTTCACCTTGCAAAAAAAATTATCACACTCCACACAGCTTGTGTTGTTGTCCTTATCAGCGGGGACAGCTGCCTTTAATAAAAGTAATTGCCTGTTCATATTTCTGCTTCGTTCAAAAGATGCTAATTCAAATGGACATATAGCAGAAATATATTTCTTTAAAGCACAGAGCTCAGATGCAGCATGGTATGGAGGTTTACTTGGTCTATCATGAAGGTTGTTAGAATTTCTGATTTTTTGTGAGAAAACTCAACAAATTCAGATGAAAGTTTTTGGTACTAATAAAAAGTGTGGAGTGTAGTTTCCAATTTAAAATCTCTGCAGCAAGTCTCAAGAATGGTGGTGGTGGCATCATGCTGAGGATACATTTTCTATACATTCAGTGAAGATATGGAGTATTGGGGTCAGGCTAGAGATTTTGTCTTTTAAATACGAGAATAAAGCCGTAACATTATGAGAATAAAGTTGCAATATTATGAGAATAAACTTTATTCTCTAGTAATGTTGCGACTTTATTCTTGTAATTTCATGACGTTATTCTCATAATGTTATGACTTTATTCTCGTAATGTTTCAACTTTATCCGTGCAGTATAACCACTTTTCATCTCATAATCTTGCAACTTTATTCTTGTAATTTTATGACTTTTTTCTCGTAATGTTACGACTTTATTCTCGTTATGTTGCGACTTTATTCTCGTAATGTTGCGACTTTATTCTCGTAATGTTGCGACTTTATTCTCGTAATGTTGCATCTTTTTTCTCGCAATGTAACTTTTTCTCGCAATGTTGCGACTTTTTTCTCGCAATGTTGCGACTTTATTCTCGCAATTTTATGACTTTATTCTCGTAATGTTACAACCTTATTCTCATAATTTTATGACTTTATTCTCATAATATTACGACTTTATTCTTGAATTAAAAAGAATAAATCTCTAGCCTGGCCCTAATACTCCATCATAGTAAAGGAGACAAAAATGTTAAAATACGCAACCTGTAGATAATCATTTCCTAAAGTATTAAACGGACTATTGTTTTTGACATAAGTTAGCTTAGCTTCTCCTTATCCCAAATGAACAAAATAACCTCTAAAAGTTACAGTAATTTAAAAAACAAGACATATGCTAGACTTCCTCCCTGTACAGTCAACTCTATTGTGAATGTTTCATTACAGATTATCGAATGGCTGTGTGACAACATGAACTCCTTTGATTCCTTCAATCAGATCCAAGAGTTCATTTTAGGTCTGTTTAAACCCCTCATTCTCCCTTTTAAAGTCTTACTGCACTCCTTTTTTTTTCTCTCCACCTTGTTCAGTTTGTAGCCACTAGAATGCTTACATCTGGTCTACACAAAGCTAAATTCTTTCATCAAGTTTGTTTATCTCTCAAATTTCTCCTCACTAACTTGTGCCAAATCACCCATACAAATCTGGGCAGTTAGAAAATAGATTTTTTCGGAGACCTTGGAGACAGTGTACTTGAAACAGAGAATAGATGTCAGGGTTATTCCAGAAAGCAAAACACTTAAAATGTTAGTCAACTTTAAAAAAACAAAAAAAAAACACACCCAAGTTATATAATAACATTGAATATAAATTGGTATTTATTGGCCTTTAAATATCTTTAAGTTATATGCTAGAATTTAGACAGAAGGATTATTTATTTATCTTATTGTACCTTGATTGCATTCGTGGTTAAGTATTTATAAATGCAGATATACATATAACTCAAAGTTTGTTATTGATAGCTTGTTTTGGTGCTGTAGTTGGATATTCATTTGTGTTTCCCCTCATGCAGCATCTTTGTCCAGAATGGGATATGAGAAGTCTCTTGGCCTTGATAAGGTCCTGCCCTTTTCATCAATATTTGAAAAAAAGGTATATACACACACTGTGAAGCCAGAAAACACAGATACCAGCATATAGATGTGCAAACAGTGGATTTGTATATGGGAGTTCTGGCTCCAAGCCCAGATTTCCCTGACGTCATCGGTCTGCCCTGTCTGGTAAATAGGCCAACGTTTCGGGTTAAGCTAAAGGGAAATCTTTAAATCATATAAAAAAATATATATATATAATTATGACCTCTAATTATCCTTGTTCTCAACATTTAGTGTGTTTTATGTTTTTGTTTCAGGAAGTCCCAGCGTGCTTATTGGAGCTTCCTGGTGTCTTTTGTACCACTGAGCTGCATATTGAGGCTGATTTTAACGGAAAGGTATTAAAAACTTTTTTATGCATCTAAAAAATTTTTATTTATAAATTATATTTTTTTTAGTTGGAAGTTTTAAACTGTTAATCTTGTAATATTTTCCTATCAAACCGTTTCCCTTAGTTTAAAGAAATTATCTTCACATGCCAGACATCTAAATAAATTATAATCTTTAGATGAAGGGATGAGTTTTATTCAGTTGCATGGAGCGAAAATTAAGACAGACTTGCTCCTCCCCTACTTCTTTCTGCCCATTGCTGGCCAGTAAGGTTCTAGCAATTTCTTTGGCTTACAATAAAAGCATATAAGGCTGTTAGGATACATTTTTAGTCACCAAAAACACAAACATCAGTGGTGTGAAAACTAAAGGCTAATTAGCATCGTTCTTATGCTAATAAGAAGCTGACTGAGCTTCATTAAATGAGAAGCTATCTGTGACATTCATATTCCCTGCGCTTTAAGGCAATATGAATGTCACAGTTAACATTATACCTGTAACAAGTAATCCATTGTTTCAGAGGCAGTTGAAACAGTTGTTTTGGGATTTAATTAAAGTCATATGATCTTTTTTTTTTGCATTTCTGTTCTGAAATATTTAGGCTATAGTAAAACGTTCACATTCCACTCAAGTATGTTATGTCCATAACCTTTCTCCATATTCTACACACTCTGATTCTAAATCAGAGACATGTAAAGGGTGGCTAAGTAAAATCCTTTTCATCATTATCATTATTGCACTTAATTAGCAGTTTTCCTCACTCTATTTTGTCCTTGCTGTTCGGATCTTGTTTATTTCCATATACTGCCGTCCAGGCTGGACGGCTCCAGGGTTTCTGGTCAGAGCTGCAGTGGAACACAGAGAGGACAAAATATCTGAATGCCGATCCAAACGCAAGATACAGAACCTCATGCATTCAGGCCGACTGGGATAAACTGGTAAGGGACCAGGCTGCTTTTATTTGTGTGTTTGTGTATAAAAAGTAAGAAAGCTTTTATGCATATAAACTACTGTGAATTGCCTTCTATTCTAGAAATGCCAGTCAGTGTTGTGTTTATGGGGGGATCTTTTTCTGGCTGTCCTTGTCAGCATGCTGTACCTTTTGGTTTTGTCAAACATTAGCAGAGCACTTTTATCCCTCCCATTATGGTGATGTTTTTGTTTTAGAGGTCCGAGAGCAGAGCCTCCAACCATGTGAATCACTTGGAGGAGAACACAAAGAAGTAGGTCTGCCTCCCACTGCAGCTCTGATAAGAAATATATGGACCAAACTCACCAGCATGAAGCAGGAGGGAGGGAATGCATGACAGGTTATTTGCGTTATCTGTACAAAATCTCTCTCGTAAGGTACCAACTGAACCGCAGAAGGCTTGCAACACTGATATTTCGAGGGTCGTATATGTGGTACTTTTTATTTCTAATTATATAATTCAATAGGTTTAATGACCTAATTAAAATTAGTATCCAAAACCCTCTGCTTTAGTCTTTTCCTACATTTTGCAGTAATGAAATTTAAAAGGTAGAAAACGAGGAAAACATAAGGCCGTTAAAATAGATAATCTTTTTACCTTTTGGTACATATTTTTAAAAACACATTGCACATTTTTTATTATTTTATTTCATAAAACAACTATTTACCATTTTACTAAAATGAAGTTACTTTTTGAACTGTGCATAAAATACTATAAGAAATCTTAAGTTAAAATAAATATACTATTTCTGTTCAGTTGTCATAAACAACTAAGGTAGAAATACTAACATAAAAATCAATAATAATTGTACCTTTTTATGCATACTTGGTATTTATTTTAGAATGTTTTTATATCATTTATAGAATCTATTTTGTGTTGACATGTATATGCACTTATTTTTATCAGTGCATTAAAGCTTAATAAAATAGAATAAAAATGTCAAGGCTTTTGTTTTTGTTCATTATTACAGTTTCTCACTTGTAGTTAATGAAAACAATCGATACAGAAATTATTTTTTTACTATAGCTAAATGTGATCATAAGAACAGCAGCTGGTTAATTAGACGGGCTGTCTGCTCACGTACCTTGCCTAAAATAACATAAACAGCCTTAACTTTTTAAGAGTGATGGCGGATGCAGGGGCAGAGCTAGATGGGGGGCCAGGGGTGGCCAAGGCCACCCTTAGCCAATCATTGGCCACCCCTACCATTTTTCCCCCCTCTAATACAGATGATGGCAGAAGTAGTACTCTCAAATTGAATATTTAAATATTAAAGGAATAGTACACCCAAAACATGATTAGCCTTCATTTTCTACTCACCCCCATGCTGAACAACACTCTGGAGTACTTTTTTGATATCTCAAATGAATCTGGAGATCTGGGAGGCTTCTTGCTGTCTGCTGACATTCAAATAATGGAGGTGCCCAGCGCCCGAGGCAGAAAGGTCCATAAAAGTCCACAAAAAACGTTTCAATATTCCTCCATACTGCTCGTCCAATGTATTCCAAGTGTCCTGAGTGGGTAGCATCCAGAATTTACTTGAAACGAAGTCATTTAGAATGTTTTTAGAGCATAAACAGTAGTGTATAGGATTTCCTGAAAGCGCGTTCATGACGCTACGGAAACCGCGGCAGACCAACCCAGACGAAAGTGCGCATTCAGCTCAGCAAAGAACTCATGCTCTTCCTCAACACTGAAGTCCTCAGACATTTTCTTTCGTCGTTTCTTTCTTTGCACAGGTAAACAGCACATTTCTTCTTCTACGCTTGCATTATTGGCAGAGCAGACGCTGAATGCGCACTTTCATCTGGTTTGGTCTGCCGGCTTCCGTAGCATCGTGAACGCGCAGGTGCGCGCTTTCAGGAAATCCTATACACTACTGTTTATGCTCTAAAAACATTCTAAATGACTTCGTTTCGAGTAAATTCTGGATGCTACCCACTCAGGACACTTGGAATAAATTGGACGAGCAGTATGGAGGAATATTGACACGTTTTTTGTGGACTTTTATGGACCTTTCTGTCTCGGGCGCCATAGACCTCCATTATTTGAATGTCAGCAGACAGCAAGAAGCCTCCCAGATCTCCAGATGCATTTGAGATATCAAAAAAGTACTCCAGAGTGTTGTTCAGCATGGGGGTGAGTAGAAAATGAAGGCTAATCATGTTTTGGGTGTACTATTCCTTTAAAAGCAATTACTTGACAACAAAAGCAGTGTGGATAATGTGGATTTGCACATCAATATACTAACATTAAAGATGATAAATACAAAATTCATGCTCTTTTCAGGAACTAGATTTTGTCTTATGGGGTAAAGAGAAAAATATGCGTTTCTGCAAGTCATCTAGTGAAATCCTAGATAACTATTTTAATAAAAGCTTAATAAATAATCAATTTATCTATAAATCAGTACTTGTAGATATCCATTTTATGCAGAATGATTATTTATAAAAGTAGGCAAGTAATGACGATGGAGAATATGTTCGCCCCATAACTCAAACCTGAAACAATTTTATCCGCTATAGCTTTTATCTAGAAAGCATGGATGTTTAAATATATGTGTCTATTTGTTTAGAAAGGCTGCAGGGAAGGGTAGTTTCTCTTTAGTAAGAAAATATGGATGTTTTGCTTGTTAATTTTCCTGTTGGAACAGTGTAGATTGACCATGAGGTTCTGGCACCGATCCACTATCGGCCACCCCTCAGTCTACGCTGGTTATTGCCTGGCCACCCTTATTAAAAGGTTTTGACTACGCCTCTGGCTGGATGCCCCTTCAGTTTCAATTAATTTTTTTTTTCTGATCCTTTTATTTTATTTTTATTTACTTATTTATGAAAACACGAATACTTCCCCAGCAGCTTTCCGTTTGGCTGTTTACGCCGTCTTTGAAGTGTCAGTATGGTGCATGTAGTTCTAACTAAAGGAGGCCTTCAACAAAAAATGCTGCATAGGAGTGAAAATGCATGAATAAGATTGAAAATAATATTGTAAGCCACTACAAATCAAAATTTCAACCAATTGGAAGTCAGATGGTTCTAATATAGAAAGTTTTTCCATAAAAATTCTTAATTTAAGCAGCCGTCTTCTCGTTGATTGACGTGTAAATGTCACAGCACGGTTGGCTCCTTTTTATGCAAATGCTCTGCTCTCGGCAGATTTTTCTATTATACTAGAAACAACATACTGTGGTGATTTCAGTCTCTGAGCAGTTAAAGATGAAGCAGTTTGATGGACAAACACCTCTGTGCAGCGAGGACTGATGTCAGGTCTGCTTAAAATTAAATAGAACTCTGCTCTTTTTGAGCCATAGATCAAACGAAGAGACTTCAACTTATAATTAGGTGCCTCCTCTGTCTGAACTTCAGAAAACTGTCATGAGATTTAAAAAGAAATTATAATGAATTTTCTTCTTATTTTCCAGGGTTCTTTCGATGGTCGACACCTGGTGTCTTGGTAAGCCAGAGCAAAAAGAACACACACATAAACTTACAAGCAAAAGCCCTGAGAAGAAACACACACCACATGCATGACGCAAATAACAAAACTTTAGTTTATAATGCAACAGCAAACATTGCACAAGTGTGTTTGCCTATCCCTGTACTGCTCGTGCCCAGAGGAGAGTTCACTGAAAATAATTCATGTTGCAGGAGGGAGTTGAGAAACAAACCCAGTAAAATGAGTCAGAAAACAATGAGAATGATAAAATTACATAACAGTGGGGAATAAGGTACTTCCCTCCTTCTCTCTTTCCAGCTTTCTGTTTCCATTATCATTTACAGCTGCTGAAGTCACTCTGGGTTTACTTGGAAATACTTAACTGCATATAAAGAGAACTGTCGATGCTTGGGAAACTGTGGATGAAATCACAAAAATGTGAAAATAAATAGGAAAAAGGCCAATGTAACATGCTTATAATTGCTTAATTTCTATAATAATATATTTACCTTCAGATTTCTCTTCATAGTTATGAAAATTGGACGGTGAGCCAAAGTATTTTCAATCTCTCTTCTGTTGTACGTTAAAAAGATTCAGAGCTTTTATTTTAAACATATTTTTCCCCATTATATAAAAGTAAATGTAATCATAAATACCCAACATATCTTAGAAGGAATATAATAAAAAATATTAGCATTTCGGTAATTACGACCGATGTAGTAACTGCTTTAGCTTTTCCTTTTTATGTTGCATTACTTGTAATCTAAAGCAGCACGTTTCAATAGCTTGCATTAATAAACACATTATCTGTGGTGGGGAGAGGATTCTTTTCTGATTTTACTGAAAAGAAGGACGTGAGCATAGATGGAGCCACATGTGGTGCAGACTGTCTGAGGGGCATGAATGTGGGCGGGTGTTCAGCATGCAATGACTGCTCTCACAGACTGAGAGGAGGAAGGCAATGGCAGAGAGCCACACAGTTCAGCGGTAGCGTTCTTAAAGTGGAAACTGATTCTGAAGTCAAAGGGTTGAAGTTACTCAATTCAGTTATATTTCACAATATTATATTTTAAACAGAAATACCTGCTGTGTTTATTTCTGTAACAGCAAGACCACTGTTTAATTTTGCTAGGATGTATAATTTCTTTTTATTAATTTGCTTAAAATGCATAATTTTCAGGGTTATGCCTAATTCATAGCCAGTTAAAGCCTCCTTATATGCGTAAAACATTTAATTTATTTTTATTGTTTTATTGTCTTTATTGATCTTTTTATGATAAACATTGAACTGGGGTTGAAACAATTAATCAAATAGTGAACTAATCTTCAACTAATTCAGTAATTGATAAATTTCTAACTGGAGTATAGACACTCCAAAAAAAAAAACATGTGTAAACATTTCGCATTTAAGATAAAAATCTTTTCCTTCTGTCAATATGCTCTATCCAGAACTCCTCAGGGGGAAAATCCGAATTTTATCTTGGTTTAAATTATGTAAAAAGTATTCTTTAAGGAACCATTTAATATCCGATTATTAATCGAATAATCGAAAAAATAATTGACGGTTTAATCGATTTGCAAAATAATCCTTAGCTGCAGCCCTACATTGAACAAAATAATTACATTTTCATAAATGTATTACAATTGACTTTCCAGCATAAAAAATATATATATTTTAATAACTAAACTGACAGTTGAAATTTTTATATCATAAAAAGTAATAGCATATGTAGTTTGCCTAGTATTTTAGTACTTTGCCCTAAGTTAAAACCTGCAAAGGTTTCCTCTACAAAGGTGTCTTAGTCAGGGTCAGTAGAATACGCAGTTATTACACAAAGACTGCCAACTGTACAGGAAGGTTAGTGCCACCAGGTGATAATTGCAAATTATCTGACTGTTTATAGTTCTTTGTTAAAGTTTATTCATAAAAAAAAAAAAATGTGTGTGAACTGAAATATTTTGGTAGGAAAAGGTGCATTAGGGATAACTACAGGCCTGAAAACACTTAAATAAAATCCATTCAACTCGGTGATGATTTAGGGTGCCATATCATGGACATTTTTAGAGATCCTCATGAATCCTTTTGTGAAAAATGTTTAAATTTCCAGCAGAACATATAGGAGCTCAAACACGCATATTGTAAATCTAACAGGCCTGGGCTTTCTATATTGGTAGCATGTCAGAGTATAACATCAAAAAGGCTGGTTTTTTGTGTGAATGATCAAAGATGAAAAGTATTTGTGTATGCAAGTGTGTCCAAAGAATCTACGCCCCAGCATGGTCTGCTTTCATGAGGCAGACATAAAACGACTTGCGCAGTAGGGTTGCTGCCTCCTAATCCCTGAGGTTAGGAGATGTATCTTTAAAGCAGAAAATGCACCAAATGTATCTGCTGATTAATAAGACATCATCTCTTTTGTCTAATTAACTTGCCAAAAGGTTTACTTTTTTCCCGTTTTTACAGAAAGTTTGCTACTTTATAAGAGTGCTGCAGTTATATTGCTTTGGCATCAAAACTTGGTTATAAAAAACATCTTTTATGTGTGTTTTCTTTTCCCCCTGTAGATAAAAAGTTGGTGCCACTTTTTCAAGAAGAGGATCATCAACAAAGGGCATTCATCGGCCTGGTGAGAAAACCGCCTAAGGCTACAAGTCTGCACTCACACAAACATACTGCCATGTTTAGGAATGGTTGTCAGACTTATATGTCCCTGATAAAATGAAATATTATGCTATCACCAGTGCTGGTTTTAGACCAAATGTTCCGGGGGGGGCAGCATGTTTTAGGAGGGGCACAGAAAAGCATGAAGCAAAAAAAAAAAACGGGCAATGTATTCAAATATATTAAAAGAGCTGCATGAAGAGAAATTTCTTCAATTGGGTTTAATTAAAATGTTATGTATTCTTTCTGAAAATATTCATTTGGATTATCGTTACAATCAAAATAAAAATCCCTTAGCATAGCAAAAAAAATCAACTCAAGAAATTGTAGATAAAATAAAGCTATTATTTGGAATATTAGGTCAATATACATGCATCATTTAGGAATTCTATATATTTTTAACTTAATTTAGGTTAAAATTATAGTTTTCTATAAAATCAAAGTATTTTTTTTATTTGTTTTGAAAAAACAGATGAAAACTGGGATCCTATTTCAATATCACTGAACCTATCACCTTATTGTTTTTAAATAATTAGTAAAACAGAATTTTTTTAAGAAATAAAATTAAATCGATCCAAAGAACCTTTCAGAAACCATGTCTGCTCCGGCACATTTCATCATTAGAATTTCTCTTAGTATTTTGTCTTTAGTACAGGGGCCACAACAGGGGCCAGGACCTGATCTACAGGGGCACTGGCCCCCATTGGCCCCTGTCTAGAACAGCCCATGGCTATCACGCTATTTAAGCAAAGGCGTACTTCCAAATTACAGTAAATATTTTTTATCAAAAGAAATTTCTTGTTTAGACGACTATTTGAAAAAAATAAGAGAATTTTCCAAAATATCCTAACTTCTCTGGTTCTATTTTGTTTTAAGGACCTTTGTCACATCTAAAAAAATGCTCAAAGCCGTATGTTAATGTCAAAAGAGAGCAAAAATACATCCATTGTTTGCTAGTGTTTACTTAGTCCTCCTTGAGACTAAAAAGAATTTATGCAATCAGCAAACTTTATTGTTGTTGCCACTGCCATCTGCTGGCCGTATCGGTTACCTCGGTGAAAACAAACATACTATATTCCAAGGTCTAATCATGTCCTTCCCTCTTAGCATAGAATTTTTTTGGGGGGGATTTTCACACTTGGTTTTGCACTTTTCCCCTCTTTCTGTTCTTTTTTTTTTCTTTTCACACGTTGCTTGGAAAAAGCTGACTTCCTCCCATGTGTAGCATCATACCTCCAGTCATATGGTCTTGCTATGGTAAATAAACAAAAGTGCTCACTTTTGCTTACAAATGGAACAAACCAAAGTGCTAAGCAAGGAATTAAAATATGATAAGCCAACAGGGTGCCATCATTTAATCGAAAAGTCTTCCTACTGCCACAGAAATTGGACGTGAGCCCTTTAAACAGATATGGAGATAAAGTGAACAGTTTCTATTGAATATATCCTTTTTAAATACCGGATTTGTTACGTTAAGATAAGAGAAATGTGCTGCACAGTGGTTAGATATTGTTGAAATAAAAAGCACAGGAAACAACGTTTCTACTGACAAGGCAAGATGATGTCAACGAAGGCGAGAAGGCATGAAGTTTTGCACATCACCGTTTGCATGCATTTATCTTAAACAAAAAACAAAGTGCATCGGAGAGAATGTGGTTAAAGTTTTAAATACCTTAAATCAATAATCCAAGGGGTACGTTCTATACACATAGGGATAATGCTTAAACATTAATCACCCGAATACAAGCTTTTTGCTCATGCATTAGAAAAAAGGTCTATTTGAATATTATATATCTAATCTTGTAGAAAAGAATGCAATTAACACAATCCACAACTTTTTAAACTACCTCTGAGAAGGTCATCATGTTTGCTCTTCGTCGTCTTTTCTGCAGGATAACATTTAGATTTTAATATTTATGCAAATGCTAAATATTTATAGCATATTATAACACATAAAAGTGGAAAATAGAAAATTTGTCTTAGGATGGTAGAGGTGGGCTATTTGCATATAAATTGACCTGGACAGGTTAAATGAGAGAAGGCTGTTCAGTAACTCCGAAGCTTGAAGTTATTCTTAAAGCTAAAGGTCGAAAAAGAAATTCAAACCTGTAAAAGAGTGAAGAGGTGTTTTGATATTTACTCGTTTATGGAAAAATTTCAAATGTAAATTGCACAGTCGATTAGCAGGTTTGCAACCCCTTCCTGTATTATCTTCCTGTCAAAGGAAGATGTGCTACATTAGGTAAATAATACTTCCCATGCATTTAACATTGCATCAAACTTAATTTGATTTCAGGACAGGCCCTTATGCTTTGATCTGTTGGGCATATTGTAGAATGCTGTTCTGCATGCATAATGCAGAAACAAAACAGTTTACATGTTGCAGAAATAACATTATACCTCATGCAGCACTATGAAGATTTACTAAACATAGTCTAAAAAGGAGCAAAAGTGAAATCGATGACTTGACCTTCCAGCTGACTAGTTTTTTAGTAATCACTTAAAAGCTGAAAAAAGCATTTGTAAACCATAACATTATAAACTATCTAGTCCTGACATGGTAGGACATAAGAATATGTGAAACGGCAAGGTGTTTACATCAAAATATCTAGCTTTTTCCACATCTGGAACTTTCACTGTTCCAGGAGACCCTGCAAGACACAGATCAATGTCACGTAAGCTTAAATCGCTATTTTGAGATGGCTTACTTGATATCAATGCATCTCTACACAAGCTGATGTGACAATTTTTAAGCAGATTTGTAATTAAAAAAAAGAAGTAGAGGAAAAATAAGAAGAATACAGCTAAAATTGAGCCTTTTATTTTTTGTTCAAACACAAGCTATAGTACAATTACTACTGCAGCACAACTGGTGACAACAGGAAGTTCAAAAAGAAGCAATTTAAACCTCTGCTTCTCAACAATATGGATCAACCATTTATGATCTCTAGTGATCTTTACCAAGTGTTGGCATCAGTAACAGGCTACAAACCGTCAAAGTTCCATCAAGTGAAACATTCCTTGTTTTTATAACATAGCTACAAGTGGTTAGGGCTGAAATAATTAATTGGATTAATCCTGATCCTGATTAATCGATTATTTAAATAATCCTCAACTGTTTTAGTGATCGATTAATAGTTAAATGGAGTATAGAGATGGTAAGACATGCTTTTAGCTGACAGCGGAACTCAGAGCAGAAATTATAACAAAATTGTAAAACAAATATGTAAACATTTTGCATTTAAGGATGAAAAAAAATGTGTCTGTCAATATGCTCTATCCAGATCTAATCCAATGACTTTAATTTAGTAAAAAAATCTTCTTTAAGGAACCTCTGTTTGTCAGATTATTAATCAATAAACAGACAACATGTACAGTTGTTTCAAATTTTAATTTAAAAAGATTGATTCAAATATAACTTTAAAATGTAGATAATATCTTAGTTAGGCATTTCTTTGGTTTTGATCGTGCTAAAATGTTTCAAAGTCTCTTCTAAGGCTGTGATCCTTCAAAAGGATAAATTCAAAATCCAAGAGCAGAGCCAGGAAAGCTTATCAGCAGCTCTTTTTGAGGCACCGCCTGCTTTGAAATGCTTTATGTTAATTTAAATCATCACGTGTTGATTTTTCTTTCCAGTGTCTGCTGAAGAAATGTATAACAGTTCCTGCCACTGCTCCCCCCTGTCCCATAACCCAAGTTGATATATAGATCGCTGAAAATCCACGGTGAAATGCTGACAACCGGTTATTCCCCCCCCCCCACAGTCATCTGTTATAGTGAAGTTCCTGTTACACTTCAAATGAATCGACTCTTTACAAAAGAGGCGTCTTAAGGTCCTTGTCCAGCTTTATTAAAACTGTGCAGTGTTTGATGGACAATTTCATATCTTTGGAGTTTTCCCTGTGCTCAGCACGTTTTTTTTTTTTTTTTTTTTTAGAAAAAGATAGCCTCAATTTAATAGAGTTCCGTTAATCTATTCTTTGGATGACCCAGTCCACTGATATTACTCACTACATTCCCTCCACAACTTCTACTTACATCATCTTTAGCCCTCAATAATCTTACTAGAAACTTCTTTAGCCCTGCTTCTTAGACTTTTTACCCTCTTCATCGTTTCACATCTGCACGTTATCCCCTCTTCTTCAAAATATTTAGAAATTGCCAGAAAACTACATGGTGGACTCAATTTGACCCCAGCATGCAAATAAATGCAACACCAAACGTAATACACTAAAAATACCGAACGTGTGTATCTTGCATTTGCAGACAGTCGACAAGCTTAGAGAACATCTCAATAGACATCTGCCTCAACTGGGGAAGAAGAAGATTGACTCTTTGGTGGTCAGCTATGTAGCCAAACTGGTGGGTACACTGTGTGTGTGTGTGTGTGTGTTGCTCAAAGATAAAGTGGTTTCCAAGTAGAAGTAAAATTTATTTCAATTTTCCCCTACTCTTGAAAGCTTAAGTGACAAAGTGGAAATGGCTCCGTGAAAAAAAGTCAGTGGGCTGCCACTTTAACTGTATGACTTTTTACTTCAGAGAGGCTGCTAGACGCCATGAAAGGATGCTTTGAGTCTTTTAAAAACAGGCATAAGTTTTTTCTTTGTTTCGGTGCAAGCTGCTGGCTCCTGATGTTGGAACAGAAACACATTTAGAAGACAGTAAAACGTTCAGTTAGTACACTTGTGGAAAATAAGGTGTGGTGAGCAAGAGGTACTTTTAGGGAATTAAACCCCTTTAAGCTTTTCACATTTTGTAATTTACAACCCCAAATGTTAGTCCTGATTCTTTGAAAAACTTTGTTTTTTAGTTGATTCAGTTAGTTTGATATCCTAAGACATTTGTTTGCTTTTTAAATAAACTACTATTTCAAGTTTTAAATGAAAGAAAAACTGTAGTAAAGGTTTTCATGTCAACCAGGATAAGGAAGCCTCGCTATTAAGATCAATATTACTATACTTTATACATTTTGCATGATGCAAGATGTTTTAAGCATTGCAGGAGAGTAGCTATGGATTTGAAGTCAATTTTTAGGATGAGTTTAAAAAAAAAAAATGCCACAATCATGTGCAGGCATAAAGATATTATCAGCTGAAGTACAGTAGAAAGAAAATGACTTAAAAAAATGGTGCAGTCAGATTCCCTTGGTCATCCTCACTCTCCTCATTCTAGATGAACTGGCACAGGGGCTGGGTGCGACCAAGGGAACCAGGCTCCTCAAACTCTCCCTTCCTGTGGTGTTGTGCGCATGTATGTGATAATGTGAAGTTTTGTAATGAGGCTAGATGTCAATGACTATGTGCATTAAGAATGCTATTGTGCCTGGGGTGCATGAGACCCAACCCCAAGCCATTAGTGTTTCTGCTGCATTGAGGTGCAGGACGACGCCTAGTACAGATGATAGAGTCGTCTTTCCACGCCTTGTGATCTTCCATTTGTGTGAGGGATCAGGAGGTGGACACTGTGGGGGCTCAGGCTGGACATCTAATCTCTAAACACCCCTCTCAGCCTCAGACCCTGATGGGAACAGTAAGGAGGCATCTCCACACCCCCACTAGAACATAGGTGCAGCCCACCTCACTGCAGACAGCTCCATCCATGCAGTGCTTTTAGTTGGAGACCAAACACAAATTCTGAGAACACATTTGGATTCTTTTAATAACTACTTTAATAAGCTAATATATTGTAAGTTTATACTGAAATTGGTTATATTCTTCCAGTTCTAAAAGGTATAATGGAGGATTTTCGCAAGTTTTTGAAAACACCCGCCCTCTCCACTTTATAAAAAAAAAAATGCACATGCACAACCCTGTACCCACTCCTGGGAGGGAACGCCTATTAAGAACGTGCGAGAGCTTGCACAAGCCCATTTCACCTTTTGCACGCTCTGTTTAAAAGTTGCTGTTTGCATCGCTCATATAAGCTTACTTTGCAAAAGAAGATTAGCAATTTTTCTACTATATCAGACTCGCCACCTGTAAGTGAAATTGGGGACGAGCACATAGGACGGCTTTACGTAAACATATCAACAGAATGATTGACAATTAGGAGGACCAATTATTTTTAAGATCCACCCAGAAAGATATTGCAGATATTTTTCTATCTAAGGGAAACATATTCCAGGACATTACAACTTTCTTTTTTTATGCTTTTTTTGTACTACATACACTCTTTTTATTTTGTCTGTTATATTTTTATCTTTAATGGCATCTTGCTTTCACTCTTTGTACTCTATAAAAGCTACTGGAACCAGAATTTCCCTGAAGGAGTAACCCCAAAGGATATGTAAAACTGAGTCCATGTCTAAGTCGAAAAATGAACATCCTCCACTACACTTTTAGCTTTTTCTCTTGTAGTTTTTTGCTATTATTAGAACTACACGAAGGTTTTGGCAATAATGCGTTTCCAAATCTACCTCTGTGATTTCACCAAGAATGCGAAGTGAGAGACACACAGGAACGATATACTTTAGGACTGTTTAAAGGTTTTTACCTGCTTTAAACCAGAGACCAGAGACAGTTGGGGGTTGCCAGAGAGCATGTTAGTAGTCAGCAGGTAATTCTCCCATGCAGTTTGGACAGAAACATCTCTGAGGCAGGTAAGAACTGGCAAGAGTTTGAAAGGAAACATCTGGTTGCACTTTTATCTCAACAGAATGACAAAAATAACATTTTAAAGGAAAGACGAACGTCTGAGAATGAAACTTTCAAATTTGCTTTTGGAAAAGCACAAAATATTTTCTAATATTTTATTGGTATTAGGACCCATTTTGATTCATTTGTTTTTAATTTTCACTGTTAAGGAAGTGTGCATGCAATTTGTAGTGTAGGGGCGGCACAATAAGCTCATGCAAGAGTTGACTGAGATAGAGTATTAGAAATGTTGTATTTCACCAAAAAATGACACTTATAAAAAAATATTTAAAATAATAACAGAGAACGTGACTATTTTGATTTTGTGAGCTGAAAGTTAAGTGTTAAAAAAGTATTTTTTTTTCATAAAAAGGGAAACTTGTCAGTCTCATAGAACTCAGACTCTGCCAGTACTTTTATGCACCAATGTTGGATGAACCGCTGCTGATAATTGTCTTGTCTGAATACAAAAAGACCAACAAAGAAACCTGCGGGTTTTCAAGTCACATTCATGTCAGGGTCTCTATATTTGGCTTTGATTTGCATATTTCCTAAAGCTGCAGTTTCTTCAGAGCTACTAAAGTCAACATCATAGAGCTTAGAGTCAGCACGCATTAAATGAAAGCACTTTATAAGGCTGAATACAGCTATTACAGGGATTTAACACAAGAAACTCAACTGGTTTATTTAGAACAAATGAAGTAAAGGTATATATTTTACTTTACAGAAGATTATTTTATCTTTTGATAGATTAAATGCAGGTGATGCTTTCCTTTATATTTCCACGTAAAAGGAGACACCAGGCCTTTGTCCTGGGTCTCACTGGGACTGTTGGTTCTGTAAAGTCAGGTTTTAATATTCCACTGACGTAAATCCCCCCACGGTTTCGGGGCGCTGAAAGCAGACATACAGCATACATCAACGCGGCAGTATAAATCAGGCCAAGGGTAAGTCTTGGATTGAATAGAAAGCAGAATGCCAAGTTTTTGAGACTCGCAGAGGTAAAATAGGAACGGAGAGGAAGAAATCCTCCCTTGCTGTGACAAGCTCGTGGAATTTAACCACACACCTTCAACATCCTGCTGAATGTAACCGAAATAGTTAGCCGTGTAATCATTTCTGGCCGCGCGCCGGCTCAGAGACACGAGGTGATTACTGGGTTTATCCAGCCGAGTGGAACGGAGATAGAGACAGAATTATTCAAACAGAATCAGCCTTTAGGGTCACTTTATTTTAAGTGCAGACGACAAACCTAGTAGCTTGTTGTATAGTCAGGCTAAGTCATCATTCAAATAAAAAAAAACAAAAGACCTGACTACTCCTCTACAAATACAGATCATGTCCTCCTTTTGTTGGTGCTTATTTAGACTAATGGCTGCATGGACAGCGAGGGGATGAAATCGATTACAGCTTTTAGGAGGTAGGGAAGTTTCTGTTCTGATAGATTACAGCTCCACTCTGCATTATTGTCAGTGATATTTATTATTTCCCGCCCAAGCTGCAACAAACAGTTCAGACAGAGAATAACCTGCTAATTGCTAGGTATGAATTGCTCACATATTTAACACTAACGCAATTAAATCAAACTGGCTGCGATATTCAGCTTTCCGAAAATGAGAAGTTGTTCTGTCCCCAGGGTTTGTTTATTCTGCTGCAGGAGATCCTCACCGATTACTTTTTAATTGCTTTGTATAGACCTTATTCATTTTTTCAGTGAAGGCCAAATCATGTTAATTCATGAGTCTATGACTGTTTGCCATATTTATTTTATTTTTTTTCTAATTGTTTGGGAGTTTTTACAAACATATTAATTGGTAGCCTTAAGTAAAAATGTTTAAAAATCCTTTTATTGAACTAATGGATTATTGTAGAACTATTATGGATAACAAAATGTTTTTATTTTTTATTTAACATTAAAAAAAAAGCTTTTTTTTTAGGGCAACAATCCTATCATGAAATACTTACCCTTCAACAATCATTTGTGTTTTAATAATTCTCATAAAAAAATTAAACCAACCGATTAAACAAATGAATATTAATGTCATTTGTTTTGTGAGTAATGGGAAAATGGGAAAGACCCCAGGCTGGAATTTAAAGTCATTCTCGCTGCAAGGCAACTGAATTAAAAACAGAACCCAGATGCTGCCATTTTGGTTTTATCTGAGATTGTACTCATTCCTCTGATTTATATTACCTAAAGTTGAACTTTTTTTCCTTACTCACTTGTCAAATAGGAATTTGTCAGTTGTGCATGTGCCATCCCAGCCGTGCTGTACTCACTCACTGGTTTAGAATCCAAATCAATTCTACCTAAATATTCTTCAATTTTTTCTGTTTTTCCAATATATTTTTGCTTAAGTAACTATGTTATCAAATTATGATGTTGCCTCCTACCTACATGTGGGTATATGGCCTAACTATGTTCACACCAAATGCAATTTAAGCATCAGAAGCAGCTGGTTTACATGCAAAATCTATGGTTGATGCGCATCACGGTGCAAAGGTCCTGCAGCCCGTTTCGAGCAGCAGGAGCAGCACCTCATGAGCTTCTAAGCATCTGAGGCGCGTTACGCACCTTACAAGCAGCAGCTGCTGGAGTTGGAAATTTTTTTTACTTTTGCCACTCCATACACCACATCAACCAATAAGAGAAGCTGATCTGGGAGCTGGCAGGGAGTCAGACACAGTACTACTGATGCAGAACGCTATGATCACTCCGCTGCAACACAATATTAACGCCTAAAATAAATTAAAATGTTGAAACCTACCAGCAAAATATGTTCACCTTTATTATTCTGGTGCCTTTGGTGCCTTCAGTTTTGATTACGTATGTGAAAAATGCTAATATCTACTTTGTGCCAAGTGGACTGCCGGTATGTGGGGATCTGCGCAGCCCCTACAGCAAAATAATATTTGAAAACGGGATTGTAATCTTGATGAACTGACTGCACAAACTAAGTTTTAGGTGGACTATTCACTTAAAAATATATTAAAGCTAATTTTTACCAGCTTATGAGAGCAAATATAGCAAAACTGCTCTGTGGCATTAAACACAGCAGCAGCAGAAGCATCAGACGCATCTGGACACGCTTTACTGGACGAGCTTCAGGAGGGTTAAAGATGCTCCTGAGGTGCGTCTGACCTTAATCATCAAAAAGGAAGCAGCACACACTTTTTTGCTGCCCAAAGCATGGCCGGTGTGAATATAGCATAAGAAAACTGTAGTAGCTGTATGAATGATTGTTGCCTTTGTTTTTTGAAAAGAAAAATTGTTTAAATTATGTCAAACATTTTTAAAGGAACTGATCATTTATGTATTGTAATAAAAGCTTTATTTTATGACTTTTTAAAATGTCTGTATCTTGGTTGCCTTTAAATAAATATAGAAATGTTTAAAAAACAACAACTTTATAATAACCATTATCATAAGACATAAAAAAGCTGGAAAAATAGACCTTTTCTCTGAATAATTAGTGAGTTTTTGGAAGCAAATCCCAATATTTAAAACTCATTTGAGCTCTTCACATAGGAATAACAATTTGTTTGATGTGTTCAAATGCTGAAAAAGTTATGACGTATGTTTTGAAAACTTCAGCTTTCATCGGGGAATTAGGAAGTTATGAAAATAGGCCCAGAGAAACGCAATGTGCGTTTTTTTTTCCCTTTTTCCGGGCTTATCTGTTACATAAGATCAGCTAATTGAAACTACTACCCTGAGGTCAAAGGAGGATGTTGCCGCTGGCATTAGGTGCAGGTTTCCCACTGGTGCTCAGGATGTGGATGAGGCGGACTGTCTTCCTGTTATTGTTCAGGAGACAGCTGAACACTCATTGGTGAAAAAAACGTTGGCTGTTTTCAAACAACTCACCAGCGCTAGGATGATCTCGGTTGTGGTCAAACATATTGTGAAACAAGCTGAGAGAGTTAAGTGTTATTTAGAGGAAATGAAATGGTGAAAAGGGAAGTGGGAGAATAGATTTTAGAAAAGGTGTGCTGTGAATAGGTTTTTTCACCCTTACAGGTTGCTTCTGTTTTTGTTGTATTCCTTTCAGATACCACTAAATATCAGGCAATTTTAATCTTTGTGAATAAAAAATTTAGTTCTTAAAGGTATAGTGGAGGATTTCCACACATTTTTGAAAAGACCGACCCTTTCTACTTAAAAAAAGGCACATGCAAAACCCTCTACCTGCTCCTGAGAGAGAACACCTATTAAACACATGAGAGCAATCCCGTTCTCATTTCTCCTCATGCACACTCTGTTTAAAAGTTGCTGTTTGCATCGCTCATGCAAGCTTTTTTTCCACTTTGTCAGACTCACCATCAGTAAGTGAAAATGGGGATGAGCACGTAGTATGGTCTTCCGTAAACATATCTCGAGAATGATTGGACAGGAGGACCACTTATTTTGACGATCCACCCGTTAAAGGAAAAGTCCGGTCGGCAAGGAATGATCAATGGATCAACATCTATACCTAAAACTAATATGTTTGCGGTGATTCAATGAATTAAAATGTATGCTCAAATATTGTTTCACATCTGCAATCATCAACAATTATTAAAGATTGAGAGGATTTCACCATTGAAATTCGCGAGAGCTATAGTTAAACTGACATGCCCAAGTGCATGGCAGTTGGATGTTTTAATACATTGGGTAAAAGTGAAAAAAAAAAAATTTTGTTGTTTCACCTTTCTGATTCATGATCCTCCACGGACGAGTTACTGCGATCGTGGTCGTTGGAATGTCAACTTGAAGACGGAGGGTTTGCCATCGACCTTCTGGCCAGAGAAAAAACACATAATATGTAGCCAACAGCTCGAAGAAGAATGTTTTCAAGATGACTTGGATAATAGCACGCCGTGACAAAAACACACAGATATAGAACTGGGACTTGCTCAACAGCCAATGCCCCACCATGATGTCACAAACCGGTAGGTTGCAGTAGTGTTCTTTGACAAACATGGGTGTCTAAAGTAAAGCACATTCAAATTAAAATTATTCTTAATTCAAAACACATTCGTTGAACAGTATGTAATAATTTGATGTTTAAAGTACTTTCAGAAGTTTGAATACTGAATATGACCAGACTTCTCCTTTAAAAGAACAGCCTCCACTATACCTTTATGTAATTGTTAAATGTATCAAGGAGGGAATGCTGCTTAAATCAACTTGCACAATATGAATGTGCCTAGCTACACCTAGTCTTGAATACTAATAATACCTGGCTGATATATTTAGAAACCTCAGATACAACTTTTCTAACATCGTAGGGCTGTCAACGTGAGGGTGGAGGTTGGTTGAGGACCCAAATGCAGAGAGGAGGGAGGCAAAGATGAGTTCTTGCAGACATCAAGGGAAAACACACATGGGGAGCGAAGTAACACCAAGGAACCAGCACTGGAGAACTGCAGAGGGAGAGTATATATGGGAGACAGAACAAAGACTGGGTTAATCAGCTGATATGGAGCAAATGTGGATGGAAGTGACTAGAAGGGAGCTAGGGGAAAGGAGACAGACACAAGCGGGCAACAGAGAGTAACTAAACACTGCTTAACTATAAAACAAAATGGAAATAAACCAAAGATCAACAAAAGAGAAGGACATAGATAACTGAAAACTCAAAGTCCCAAAGGAGAGAACCATAACAAAATCAGTTCAAGAAATTAAAAACATATGAAAAACAAACTAATTCATACTCAGGAAAGAGGTAAAAAGTGGTAATTTCTAAGGTTTTTGGACGAATCGAGAAAACACAAAACACTTAACCTTCCGAGGAGTTGCTAACTAACTTATGATCACTCTATAAGCTCACTAGCTGCATTTCAATTAACCATCAAACTTTGCAAACTATAATTACACAAAGAAAATAATTTTAATGAATATACTGCAATTTGGAAAAATTTCACATTTTTCCGCTAAAACGTTTTTTCCGCTTCACTGAGTAATGACATTTTTGTTTTGCAAAACTACAATGGAAACATCTTTTTTTGCATCAAATGGGTCACTGCAGCTTTACCTTACTGCTTTGTAAAAAGACGAAGAAGAAGACCTGAAGTGGATAAAGTCATCGCTTCAACAAACGTCGTCACCTGCAATTTGAACTGCATTTGTTATTTAATGAAAATACTGCATATGCAAAACTTTGTATTGTCAAAATTAGGAGAATAGCGACATGTCTTTGCGTGTATATCTAATGGCAACACAGTTTCTGTCATCTCTTCCAGGTCTTCACAAATGGACTCTAAACATCTAAAACCCTACAGGCCTCACTTACCTCGGTTAACATCAATATTGAGGAACTTTCTTTAAAAACTGCATCCCTGAGACATTTCAAAAACATAAAAAAATCACCCAAAAATCATAAAAACTCTCTGGCATACATGACTTGCTGTAATTGGTAGAATTATAAAAAATCCAGAGGATGTTCTGTGTGACCCTAAGGTCATGCTAAACCAGTGCAATGATCTGCAGGGCATAAACAAACCTAAATACAACCTAAATAAAGGGAAGAGGCCTTTATTAGTGGCCTGCAACTTTTAGAGATGTCTCCTTTTTAACACCTAAATCAGATAAGTAGATCATCAGCAGGACTCTGTATAATCTCACTCTGTGCTAATAAGACAATTCAAGTGTTTGATTCTTGTGTTGAACTAATTACATAAAATTAATGTAGAAAGATACCTTCCCTCAGAGACGGGACTTTGAAGGTCCGGATTTTATGGGCCTTCCAATCATTATAGCAGAAATAGCATATTTTTGTATCTTTTCATGCATAACCTTAAAAATTATTGTTTTGTTGCAAAGTTTCCAGGCAGCCGATTTCATCTGAGGGAAACATTTTATTTGGATCTAATGGAGTATGTCTTTCTCAAAACATGTAAACTTGTGTTTGTGTTCAGCTGGAGCTCATCAGGCACATGCTGGAGTCAGCCTGGCTGAAGAACAAACTCGGCCCTCATGTTTTGTGCTTGTAAGTAGTTCTGTTTCCTCTTTAGACAACTTTGAGGCGTTCCAGCTAAGAAGAGGCACATGCACTGCTGTGTTTACATTGGAAACTGTTGATGCCCGAGTTATATAATCCTTTCATTATAATTTTTATTTATTTTTTTCTTCGATTTGACTTGTGGGCTTCAGGAAGCAGAAGGGCGGCTCGGCTGAATGGGCCGTGTTTCACTTCATGCTTCGGATATTGGAATCCACCCGGAGTCTCTGCCTGCCCCTCCCACCTGGTAGCATCGTGCACAATCACATTTGTACTTGTTCTTATAATCCTGTCTGTCTCCCTGTGAGCCGTAAAAGAAAAACACGCATTCCCAGCGAGGCACAACAGAACTGTGCATTAGCGGAATGCTGACAAAGCTCCTGGAGGATGGGAATACATTTTCACTCATTTGAATTAATTTCACAGTGTTTGCAGTTGTTTGGTACATAATTCTTTCCTCTTAGTCACTCAGGAGTAAAGCTTTCATTTTTAAGTGACTTTGGACTAAGCTAATTCATGAATCTTAGCGTGCAATATTTCGTATACAATTCATTCCACAAAGTCAGCTTTACCTCTATGAATATTTCACCCCTTTTTCCTTTATTTTTTTTCATGCCATCCTTTTGTTTTCTCCAGGCTATCACACCCTGTTTGCTGTGTTTGCTGTTCGTTGCCTCCCTCATCAAACCTTTCTACAGTACATTGACCACGGTTTCCTGCAGCTCACCGAAACATTCGTGTCTCGTCTTATGACAGGTTTGTGTGTAAATACACCGACACATTTTTAAGGCAAAATAAATCAGCTAAGGTCCTCTGCAAGCAGAAAACCTTGAAAGGAAAAAGCCTGTCATTCTTGTTAACTTTAAAACGGATCGCAGACAAACATTTTTCATAGTATTTGAAGATGTTTCTTTAAATGCCTGGAATGCTTTCACTCAATGTTAGTCTAGATTGCAAAACCAATTGCATCTATGGGACACTACATGTAAAATGTTTTTTTTTACCCCCTTTTTGGCATAATATTGCTTAGGAAATAATTCATGCTCTCTTTAATTGTTATTTCTATATAAGAAACTTAAACTTTCAATTAAATCAAATGTCTTGGAATATCAATTTACAGCAACTGTCATCTCAATCTGTTACCAGAAAAATTAATAATTATCTGCAGAAACTTAAAAATCTAATCCATACAAACATATTAACTGATTTAAATCAGTTAAATACTTTGCAATTGTTTCTTGGTTATCATGCAGAGCAAAATGCTGGTGAAGATCCTAAGTCATCCAGGTCATAGTTACTCCAAAAAATTTAAAAAACAATCAATTGGACTTTGTTTCCCAAGTTAAAGACATTTCACGTCCCATCCAGGAAGCTTTTTCAATTCAAAATGTCCAAAAAAAAACATTGAGTTCGAGGCTTTATAGACGCTTTTGTTTTTGGTCCAATCTAATGTGGTATTTAAAAGGTGTCAACTTTTAAAACTATTCAAATTAGTGTTGGCCTATACTGTAGTCTTTAGATGAAAATGTAAATTATTTTAGCAAAAACGTGGTTAAATACTTACTACTTCATACTTACTACTTCAGTCAGATTTTAGTTTTAGTTCCACTGATTTTAATTAAGATATTAGTCAGCAAGAGTCTTTGACTTAAAAAAAATGCTATGCAATCCCACAAATTAACACTTTTTCCCCCTCAGTCTTTCAATAGTAAGAGCAGTGTTGAGCTATTCACATACCAACAGGTGAAAACCCAAGTGTAAAAACCTCATTCACAATGTTAAGGTCTGATTGATGAAACCTACTTAAAAAAAAAAAATAATTCATGAACTTGAAATTTTGGCCAGATTTCCCTATTTTAAATAACTTGAAAATGATAAAAATTTCAAGTTATTCAAATAATGTTTCAAAGACACCCCCCAGCACCCGCCCCAGTCCGATTAAACTCTACTGGCAAACAAAGCGTTAGGGCATGATTCGAACTGGGCTGAGGTCTAATTAAAGAAGTCAAATAAAAAAAAAAAAAACTTTAGAAAATGTTTAATGAAAGATTAAATCATCATTTTGATCCCTGAAGAAACTGGATGCCTAGTTCTCCTTAAAATTGCCACGACCTGCTCTATAAAAGGACAGGCTATGTCTGACACTTAAGCCTTTAATGGACTGGAGCAAAATTTGATCACAGAACAAAAGAGACAAAATAATGATATATTAGTGCAGGTTTGTACAGCTAAAATGATCTACTTTTTTTGCAGATATATTATAGATAATAATTTTAGGTCACACAGAGGTTAACCATCCCCTCATTAAGCTCTCAATTGAACCCAAGTGGTCTATTTTTTAGTGCTGCTTTAGTGCAGATTTGTGGAGTTGAAACAGTTTTTTGTGCTGCTTTAATTTGAAATCACCTCAGTGCCGTCTAGCAGCACGTGGTGAGAGCAGAGCAGTGACCTCTTCTACCATGTGAAATTTACTGCTGCCTGCATTCTTCCCCTCATGGTTTGCACAGAGATACTATGTAAATCCACCGCCCTCGCTGCAGACACCGCATTCGGTGTGTATGCACCTTTAAAATGAGCCAGCTCGTAAAACCCAAATGACAACAAAATAGTCCAAAGATTATGGAGGTAGATAAATATTAGGGTTATAGCAAATAAGTAATCTAGCCTTAAAGTGGAAACATACCAAAAGCTTGGCAGCGAAAGTAAGATCTGTTTAATTTTTCTAATGTTGATGCAGATTTTTCAATTTACTATTCAGAGAATACAAATCATTTTCTAAATTCACTTCTTTCCTTAAATTTATTGTAATAATTTAAGTACTTCTAGAATTGGGAATTTTAGGAAACACATTAGAAGAAAATACAGAACAAAGGCTCAGTCTTGAGCCATTTTAATGCCAAAATACACCTTTAAAAAAAGAAAAATGGCACATAGAATCACACCAATATAATCTATTTGTATTAATATCACACCTATAAAAAGTTTAAAGGAGATTGTTGTTAAGAACTTTCATTAAGAGCCATGAGGAAGAGCTTTCTCTTCTTTTCTCTGTTTCCTAGTTGATGTCGAGAGGCAAAGAAAAACAGCAGTGGATTCATACAATGATTTAAAAAGTAAATACATTCCAAACATGTCAGATACTTGTTAATATCATACAACATTTCTAAGTGTGTAATGTGGGCAGCAACAGCGACAAGGCGAGCAATCAGAGGTAAAAAGTCAACCAAAGAGACAGCAAGGATCCGACTGAAGAGCCTATTAATTTTTTGCTTTAGCTTGTCCGACATTTTAATGTTCTTTACACCTCTGACAAGCTTTATGTAAAAGAACAGCAAAACTAGTTGACCTGACATTAATATAGCAATGTAGACTAGCTCTGCTGTTGGGTGGATCTCTTTATTCCTACAGCTACTGTTGGATGGCATATCTCCCTTGTTCTTTTCATTAAGTAAAAGAGCAGGTGGTAGAGAAAGCAGAGCCCCGAGCATCCATACAGAGGAAAGTAAAACCCTCTGCCATGTTCGGGTCAATTTTCCCCACTTAGAGTGATGGAGAATCTGGGAAATAAAAAAATAAGAGTTTTAGCCAGATATCTCTTTACATAGTCTTACACAATGTTTAATGTAAACTATTCATTAATTCTTCTCTTAGTTAAATAAAAAAAAAATTTTTTCCATCTGTTTGTCAAGCAATTCTAGACTTCCGGTTATTGTGCTTGAAATTGTGGACCACTGAGGTAATGAGGTGTTTCTGTTAAGCCTCTGTCACACCTTGATGATTAAAGCCAGTGTATGACAGCGTACAAAAGATCTGGCAAAAACACTGGCATATGTTGCATAAGTTATGAGCACGCTTAAGCACGCTGGCACACATGGACAAATGGCGAGTATGTCTTGATGTATGCCAGCATATGCCATACGTGGGGCATAAGTTACAGTTATTTGATCGTTAACATAGGTTAAATTTAAGTCACTCATAAATCGTGGTGTCTACCTTATCTAAAACCTATGATTAACTTGTGCATAACTTATGCGTAACTTATCAAGAACTTATCTCTAACATATAACGCATATTCCAGACGACAGCTTACATCTTTCTAAGTTACAGCTACTGTATTATGGTGTATTGGCAGCGGTTTGGTGCAATAATCCTCCAGACTTCATCCCCATCATAGTGTGACGAGAAGGTGAGTGTGATGGATCCTCCCGGCATTCACGGCCACAGCCATGACCAACAAACGTCCTAACAGACATGACGCTGAATCTCCTGCGACGCAAACCTTCTTGTTCTTTTTACAGCGATCAAAGAAATCTTTTTATGTAGGCGGGGCGCCTCCGGGCGCATCGCTGCCCCCCTCAGGACACTGACTTGTGACCTTTTATGGGCATTATGCTGCTGTGCGTTATGCATAAGTTAGGCTGTCGTTGGACATAAGTCGTTATTAAAACTTTATGTATACGCCCAAAATTGAAAAAGATATATAGAAAGTTCGGCATAAACCAATGTTTAAGGAGATTCTGGGATGTCAGGCATACTCTGGATAAATCGTCAAGGTGTTACAGGGGCTTTAAAATGCAATTGTCTCCAAATAAAGGAAAGGAAATGCCCTTCGGTAAACACCACAAAGATACAAAGTATGTGGGCTCCTTTTTGTCAAAAACAGTAAAGTGTTTCTTAAATAGGCCAATGAGTATAATCGGCAACAACCACAGTTTGACTTTGTTTTCCTACAATAATGGAGTTTGAATGACATACCTTGTAGTATCGTTGAATGCTTATCAGCAGCAGGATGTTGGAACTGGAGGTTACGCAGAATAAGAAGACATAAAAGAAAAACTGGCACAATTTATGTGGCAAATGGGGTCCAGTGGCAAAAATGACTCCAGCAACCAGTACGCAAAACAGGGAGAGGAGGTCTGACAAAGCCAAGTTGAAAAAGAGACGCTTCGTCATGGAGGTGCCTCGCAGACGACTGCTGAGTTTCACGATTATGAGGAGGTTAGTCGGGATACCCAAAAGGCAGCTGAGGGTAGCAATTACAGCTGCAGCGATGTATGCTGGATGCACGCAGGACAAAAGAAAAGTGCTGGAAGAGGAGCAGTTGGTATAAAACGCCACAGAGGATGAGGTGTTGATACCAGGGACAGAGGCCATAGTGGAACAGAGAGAAGCTCTGGTTAAGTGAACATGCTCTTCTATGAAGAGGACTGGCTTATTATGCAGTAGGTGTCACACTTTAGTGGTTTGTGGTCTTGGTGTGTAATTCAGGACAGAATTTATTGATTGCAGGGGCCTGGCTTCCAGTTTGTCAAAGATGAATTAGCAACTCAAGTGACTTTAAGAGATGCCATCCTCTACTCAGGGTTCAAAGCATTATCCAGGTGAGACCGTCAGGCCAGGATAATGTCCCTTTAGCACAATGATTCAAGTTATAGTCCCTTTTCATTGTCTCTTGGCTTTTACCTTTGAATTGTCTATAGTTGGTTTCAGATGTCAGAGGATTTTACTGCTATGCTACAGCTCAACGTCCAGTTCAAAACATTCAGTGATAGGGCCGACCCTCTCATATTACAGAGCATCGATAAACACCAAGTGCACTACATGGACCTGAAACATTATTTATCTAAAATGAAATTAATTCTTGCGTCAAAAAAAGTTATGCAGTCTTGCTCTAATGCAGCTCTTTCAGATTCTTAACATGATTCAGATCGACTAAGTTCATTTGTGAATGAAAGCAACTTTTCAATTTGCAGGGTCCATTTGTCCTCTTAGGTCTGGTCTCTTCATATTTGTACAATTTCAGAGGCCTCTTTTTTTGTAAAGAGTGTAATTTATTCTAAGAGGCCTTAACAAAACTGTGGTATTTCTGCAGTTCCCTAAAGAAGTTACCGGTATGTGGGAAAACATCTAAGATTAATGAACACTAGAAAGGACAAGGGTTATTTTTTGGTAGGGAGGTAAAAAATGATATTCTAAGCTTTGGATGTGTAATGGAGCACCGTCCAGTTCATAATGGGAAAACAGAAAGTCTGTTTCACAATTGCAAACATAAATATAAGAGTTTTATGTTAATGTGATCAGAGATCCATGGCCCAGGTGGGAAAATTAGTTGAGTCCAACAACAGACAGCTGTGGCTTTTATGGAAGAGGGGCAAGAGGTAACCAATTTTCAAAGAAAGCTCTTATAAGTGCCATTAAAGGTTGCAACAAACTATGTGTGGATTATATTCCTAATAACTAGAATTGGGAATCCCTGTCCTACACTATGAAACATCACAATGGCAGCATGCATGACGGTACGGGGATATTTCCCTACAGTAGTTAAAGGAAAACTGGTCAGAGCTGCTGCAACATTTATCTCGTTTTAACTTTCCCAAATGTGTTATTATGTATAAAGACAAATGACCTTTTCTAAATGCTAAAGGCAGGTTTTATATATGAAAACACCCCAGAATATGAAATAACTGCTGGCAAAACTGTAACACAAAGTCTGTAGAGCTGAAGAGATAAAATTCACACTAAAAATATTTGTTAGAATTCACTATCTGCATGTGAATGACGATCACTTTACACAAGATCACATGTGCCTTTTTAAGTCTCAGCCTGGTTTGCGTGCTCTGTCTGACCATCACATTTGCCTTTTTTAGTCTCAGCCTGGTTTTAGTGCTCTGTCTGACCTGCTTATTTCATATCAGTGTTTTTTTGGTGTTGACGAGCCTAACAGCTGTCAGCATGGTTGTGGTCAACCATAGTCATCTAAGTTAAGGTTACTTTAGGTCACACCTGCCTAAACTACTTTCTGAATTTTCCTCTAAAGCCACAAAATTCATCTTATTACAAAAAGTAATGTAGTTTAAAGTAGCTGTATAAACTGTGTAAAAAAAAATCCTATGTAAAATAAAAAGTAATGGTTAAATTAAAGAGATTGCGCCTGTAAACACAATGGTTCTCCAGCCCACAGTTAATCAAACAGAGCTTTAATACTAGTGAAATTGTATTTATGAGATCAGATTGGTCATTATTCTTCTTCCATTATCTTTTTGCAAACCTTTATACTACTATCAACTGAAAACAAGGAAATGTAAAGCATCTCTTAAGGTTACTCCTTAGGCCTTAACTCTAAATGCTCTTTTCTGTCAGATACATTTTCTACTGAACTTGCACTCTGGGAAACGTTACTGTCACTTAAATTTAACAACCAGAAACAACACTGTGATTGATTTGTTCCATTTCTCAGTGTTGTGCTCATTATGCAAAGATTCCCCTATTAGCTCACACTGGACATAAAAAAAAAACTTAATATTTTCTTTGTTCTTTAATTTAGCTCCAGCTTAAATGTGCTGCTGTTTGCTATTTAGCCTACTTCATGTAGTAAGACAGGTTCTATTTAGCAATTCGAATCCTAAATCAAATCAAATGAAACTTTGTCAGATCCTTCCTTCCTGGCAAAATGTTTTTGTTAATAATAAAACTCGAACAGTGACACTGTGACTGTGTAACACGCTCAAGCTGAACGGTTTTAAACTTCAAAAAGGATAGAAATTGATACTTAAAGATTGTGTAGTGATTGGGGGTCTGCGCTTCTCTCCTTGGGGATGAATCAGATATTCAGGTCTCTGTTCAACACGCAGTGTGCTTCATTTATTGTAATTGGCTTCTCAGGTGTTGAAAATCTGAACCCTCTCTCCAGAGGACGGGTTTTCCTTTGGGCTGGGTTCTGACCTCAGACTACATCATTTTTTTCACCCACATTTTACATAATTAACAAGATGAAATAAAAGATGCAGTTGCCAACATGCTGAAGATAAGCAGCCGGTTTGGTATTTAAATGATTTTTCTGATGCGTTTTTTGTAATGCAAGTCTTTAGAAGAATTATTTTAGAGAGAAATGCAGAAGAAAAAGTCATTAATAGTGCCCTCATGCCAGAGTTGTCTGCAGTTGGGGGATATGTGAAAATGTTACTGCTGTTTCTTAAACATTTAATCACAGCCAGAGACAGGCCGTGCTGGCTTCCCCTCAGATAAATTGATGTCTTTAAATATTTATCTGAGAACATATTCACAACAGCAGGAAATACATCGGCACCACACATATGTATGGGTGTTCCTCAAGGATTTATATTAGCCCCCTATTTTGTTATTGCTTTCTAAATTAGTCTGGACAGAAGGCACCAGCAATAAAAAGGAATTCATATGCTCATGCCATGTTTAAAGTAGCAACATTTTTCCCATAACAAGATGTGGAGAAAACTAGGAAATTGATTTACTACTTTTGTTCTTTTGTTAAAGGTATAGTGCCGGATTTTCATGATTTAAAAAAAAAAAAGACCCACCCTCTCAACTTAAAAAAAAAATAAAATGCACATGCACAACCCTGTACCCTCTCCCGAGAGGGAACACCTATTAAAAGCATGCGAGAGCAGGCATGAGCCTATTACTCCTCGTGCAAGCTCTTTAAGAACTTGCTGTTTGCATGGCTTATAAAAGCTTACTTTGCAAAAGATTTGCAATTTTTCCACTATGCCAGACTCATCACCCGTAACTTAAAATGGGGACGAGCACGTATGGCAGCCTTATGTAAACATATCACTAGAATGATTGACAATTAGGAGGACCACTTATTTTGATGATCGAACCCAAAAAAGAACATCCTCCACTATACCTTTAAGAGAGGTGATCAACTGTACTATGATGATTCATATATTATGTTGTAACATCTGGAATGCAGTTATTAGATGTGTACCTGGACACCAACATCAGACCTCTGACCTAGAAACGTATGTAGCTACAGGTTTCATTAGAAATGCAGTACTGGCACAATTTGGTCCATTTTTGCTTTTGTTAGCATAGAAAACCAGCAAAATCCAAATTAGATCATCAGTGAGATTTGTTTGAAGAGCTCTTTTTTCTGTCCCTATCCCATAGGAGTTTAAATTTTGACAGAATGTAGTTGTATTATTTACAAGCATGACTTCTTTCTTCTGGTAAAAAAAAAAAAAAAAACTGGAGACAGATTGGCATGGTGGCTGTCTTATACTGCATTGCTCTGGAAACAGCCTTTTTCTTTCTTGCTCTTGCATATGGGGGTATGTTTGACACTTGATAGCCTTTAATAATGTCTAAAAACTGCCCTCAAAACAAACTTGGATTTTTGAAGAATTCTACCTTTTACTGGTATTAAGTTGTGTTGTGTTCCATTTGGGGTTTAATTTTTTGTTTCTCTCCTTTCCTCCTCAGATTATGCATCTCAATGAGATGCTGCATGCTAATTCAATACTTTACAAAATTGTCATCTTTTTTTCAGATTTGGACAACAGTGAAGCCAATGAGCGACTGAAGTTCAGCATCCTTAAGAGACTACCAGAGGTATTGCTGCTTGGCCAAATTTTGATTTGTTTAGAAAGGAGTATATTTAGAGGTGGCTCTAGGTATTCAGCTTCTTATGTAACTTCCATGTGTGCTTGCACGTGCGTGTTTCATCCCCAACGTGATCAGAGGAATGTTGATTGTTTTGCATCTCTGGTCCCCTTCCTGTCTGCTAAGACTTCTGCAGGGTGAGTTTGGTTGGCAAGAGAAAGAAAGGGGGGTATTTTTTTTCCTTACTTTACATCTCACTCTTAAACTATTTAATACAAATGTTTTTAACCACAGTTGATTCTTTGGAACTGCTTAAATATAAACAGTGGCATAAAAAGTCTTAGAAAAGACAAAAAATTGGAGCCTTCAGGTAGAGGTGCTTTAGATTTTTCACATAGGCCATGTGAGGTATTTCCCCGTGTGGCATGAAATTAATGGCATTAGTGTAGTAGTTGAAACAAAAGGTTGTAGATGCACTCTGAACATACACTATATTGCCAAAAGTATTTGCTCACCTGCCTTGACTCACATATGAGCTTAAGTGACATCCCGTTCCTAATCCATAGGGTTCAATATGACGTCGGTCCACCCTTTGCAGCTAGAACAGCTTCAACTCTTCTGGGAAGGCTGTCCACAAGGTTTAGGAGTGTGTTTATGGGAATTTTTGACCATTCTTCCAGAAGCGCATTTGTGAGGTCGCACACTGATGTTGGACGAGAAGGCCTGGCTCTCAGTCTCCGCTCTAATTCATCCCAAAGGTGTTCTATCGGGTTGAGGTCAGGACTCTGTGCAGGCCAGTCAAGTTCATCCACACCAGACTCTGTCATCCATGTCTTTATGGACCTTGCTTTTGTGCACTGGTGCACAGTCATGTTGGAAGAGGAAGGGGCCAGCTCCAAACTGTTCCCACAAAGTTGGGAGCATGGAATTGTCCAAAATGTCTTGGTATGCTGAAGCATTCAGAGTTCCTTTCACTGGAACTAAGGGGCCAAGCCCAGCTCCTGAAAAACAACCCCACACCATAATCCCCCCTCCACCAAACTTTACACTTGGCACAATGCAGTCAGACAAGTACCGTTCTCCTGGCAACCGCCAAACCCAGACCCGTCCATCAGATTGCCAGATGGAGAAGCGCGATTCGTCACTCCAGAGAACGCGTCTCCACTGCTCTAGAGTCCAGTGGCGGCGTGCTTTACACCACCGCATCCGACGCTTTGCATTGCACTTGGTGATGTATGGCTTGGATGCAGCTGCTCGACCATGGAAACCCATTCCATGAAGCTCTCTGCGCACTGTTCTTGAGCTAATCTGAAGGCCACATGAAGTTTGGAGGTCTGTAGTGATTGACTCTGCAGAAAGTTGGCGACCTCTTCGCACTATGCGCTTCAGCATCCGCTGACCCCGCTCCGTCAGTTTACGTGGCCTACCACTTCGTGGCTGAGTTGCTGTCGTTCCCAAACACTTCCATTTTCTTATAATACAGCTGACAGTTGACTGTGGAATATTTAGGAGCGAGGAAATTTCACGACTGGATTTGTTGCACAGGTGGCATCCTATCACAGTTCCACGCTGGAATTCACTGAGCTCCTGAGAGCGACCCATTCTTTCACAATTGTTTGTAAAAACAGTCTGCATGCCTAGGTGCTTGAATTTATACACCTGTGGCCATGGAAGTGATTGGAACACCTGATTCCAATAATTTGGATGGGTGAGCAAATACTTTTGGCAATATAGTGTATTTGCATTCATAGTCAGGTTGGAGTGGACACAACCTTTTGTTGTGGAGCTGCTCAATATTTTGCTACTGAGATTATTAGCATCACCTGTTTGTACAGGACAACATTTTTATCCCATTTTTCTACCTCTTGGAACAAGCTGAGATGATGAATCCTTGTTTGGATTTGCTTTTAGAGACCTTCACTAAAATGTGGAGTACACCCAGTAACTTCAAGGACACTGGTGAAAGCTTTTATATTTGCTGCTGCCTTTGCTGTCAATCAAACCGCACATCCTAAGAGCAAGTGAAACCGTCACCAATTCTTTCGCATTAACTTTTTTTTTTTTATATGTTTGTTTTTTAAGTAAAAAATGGCATTTAAAGTCAGGTGAAATTTATTTGGTGTTTCTAAACAGGAAGATGTGGTGAAAAGGTCCTGGGGTTTTAAGGGGGTAGTGCCGTTTTGGTTTTCAGCAGTGTAAAGGAGAGGAGTTTTTGTGTGGACTGATGCACAAAGTCAGCAAGTTTTATATTTCAATTACCCAACCACTACAGAAGTACTAAAAAGGTACTACAAAAAAACTACGGTAAGTATTAACACTTAGGGCCTGAGCTTTAGAGGGTTTGTGTGGCTTCAAAGCGCTGTAAAAAAGACAAAGTGATTTGTGTTTGAACAGCCATGAATGCATGCAAACTTTTTTCTGTGTGCCTTCCTCAAGGGTGGAGCATATGCAAATGCAAACATATACCACCTATAAAGCCATTTTCCAGATCTGAAGCTCAACTGCAGCTGCAGAGTTCGTTTTTTTTGTTGGCACTTCTGAATGTCAGGCGCAAAAGTTACATAAACAAATCTCTGTGGCCATAGTGATCACCAAGGAAACAATGGTACAAGGACAGATAATGGAGAGATATTTAAAGAGCATGTCAAAATATTTGGATTAACAATAGAATAAAATTCAAGCAAATTGTCTACAGGCTGGCTGAAATTCATCTTTATACAATTACAGCAAAAAAAAAAAAATGATGGAACTTTCTCCTCATGTTTAAGATTTATTTTTTTATATTTAACTTCTAAGTTTTTTTTGTGCATAATTTTATTTTTTTACTTTTGTTTGTAGCACTTCGAGATATATAATAAATGCCCTAAAAATAAAAACTAGTATAACCATAATTATTAATTAAATAATTATTCTTATAATTAGCTCCAACATCATGACTTGGAACCTCATCTTCCTTTTATGACAATTCTTAGTATCACACAAGATCCTTTCATTTGAATCGTTTTTTATCTCTTAAAATTTGTGCAGTAATCTTTGGAGATCACCGGTAGCATGCCCACCTAATGCATGTGCAAAAAGAAATAAAAAAGGAAAGAGAAAAAGTTGCCTTATCCATTAAGCATACCTTATTTTAAATCTTTAAGGATCAAGACAGAGGTGCTCAGTTGGAGATATTTGACTTATTCATTTTCTGGTGTTTCTTAGAAGATAAATCTGAATAATCATGGTAAAAGTATAAATTGCAAACATTGAAATACAAAGTCAATGACAAGCGAGAAACCTGTGGAACTAAGAGTTTCAATTTTGTCTTGCAATAGTAATTATATCTCTAAAAAGGATTTGTTTACTCATGAGTAAACCAGCAAAATCCCTTTAATACCTCAGAGCACATCCTAATAAAAAGGTTTTCTTAAGCTAATTAAGACCAGTTACAATCTAGAGCTCATTAATAGAAAAAAGAATATTTTTAACACAAAGGCTTTAAATGTAAACAATGCAACCGACTGAATGATTCTGTCATGCTACATTTATACACAATTTACGATTATATCAAATGCTGAGAGCTACTAAAAATGTCAAATCTGGGACCAAAAAAACACAATGAGGTAAAATGCCAAGACTAATCCATTTGATGTGATTGAGCAGCTTTTTAACCAACATCTTTTCTTGCATTTTGAAAAGAAAAAAATAAGCATGTCATCTTACTGTATCCTCCCTTTTTTGTCTGTTTGATTTATGACTGTTGTGCTTTTTTGGTGTCTCCAAAAATAGAACAATTTCCCCAAGACCCCTCATTAGCAGTCCCCCCTTGGATAACACTGTTGCCTTCCATTTGCTCAAATAGAAAGGGACAGCTGGTCACAGCCTTGGGGAAATCTTTTTTTCACTCCCTATTACTGGTTAAAGTATGAGCTACATGCCTAAAATGTAAAGTATTTTTTTTTGTCTGTGTGTGTAGCCTATGGAGCAGAGGATATACCATATGTGGGATCATCCTGTCAGCTCAGCCTCAATCTCAAGAGATTATGTCAAGATGCTGCTGGAAAAACACAACAAGAATAAGGTAACAGTACAGTTTCCAACAGAGGCTGCATATATTTCCTGCAGAAAAGAAACCTAGAAAATAAATAATACTGATATATCAGGGGTATATAGCTTCTAAAGACTAAACTTTCAGCCAGCTTTATCTGTAAGATGAGTTATTATGACTTCTCTCAGGTGTTGCTATAGAGAAGTCTTAATGTGTACCTTACAAAACAGATATTTTACTTTTATAAAATATTTTCCCCCCTCAGGGATTTGCATTGACTTGGAGAGACAAACCTGGCTTCAAACCAGAGTTTCTGCCTCTAACCTATCTGGCTAAAATGCTCTCAGATATCGAGTCACAAGGTAAAGTATACCTGTATATCCTGCCGGAAAGGTCTTTAAAGCATTTTTCAAAACAGAGGAGCAGGAAGTTAAGGTGTTCTTTTCTTGAACAGCTCTGAACCCTTTCGAGGAGAATGAAAATGTGGACGCCAGGTTTGTGGAGGACTCTGCTCTGATGCAGACACTGATCCAGCTGGGCTTCCAGGAAAAATGAAGCTGCTGGAAGGGCGATGAAGGACGAGAGGCGGGTGGAGAGAGAGAGAAAAATAGATGAAGAGAAAAATCAGTTTAAGGGAGAATAAATGTCTAACTGGGCCTTGAAGGCATGAAATGGATTGATGTTGGAAAATGAGAGTCGAGTGGGGAAGTCGTAAACAGGTTCTCATGGTTTGATGAAAAATTATTATGGGAAAAGGGATTTTAGGAAGAATTGTTGTGCTTTTCAGGAAAAAAAAAATTAGAAACTAGCAAATGAAGATGCATCTCAATAATTTAGAATATCACTGCAAACATAATTTATTTCAGTAATTCCCTTTAAAAAGTAAAACTCATTATATAGATTGATTACACATACACACTGACATTTCAACCATTTATTTCAATTAATTTTAATGAGTATGGCTCACAGTGTGTGAAATACGGGTTCTGTTTTTATTTTATAAAGTGAGCTTTATAAAATCTGCAGGCTAAAATCTTCCTCCAACACCAAACACCTGGCCTACAGGATCACTGGAAAGACTGTTTTCTGGACAAAGGTCATGTTAGCAGTCACTGACATGTCCACAAGGAGGGTATTCCAAAAAGAAGCTGTTTGTCTTCAAGCATATTAATGGAAAAATTAAGTGGAAGGAAAAAAATACAGAAAAAAATGTGCAGAGGCGACTTTAATACCCTTTTTTTGAAGGCAGTTTTCAAACAAATTAGCCATGTTATCAATAAAAGATAATGTCCACAGTCAAGTGTTATATACTCTGGAGGACATCAAACTCCAACTGCTGACATAATTAAGAATAACAGAAATCAATTGAGCTTTATTGTACCGTATTTTCCGGATTATAAGTCACAGTTTTTTTCATAGTTTGGACTGGGGTGCGACTTATACTCTTGAGGAAGTTATTTGTGAAATTATTAAAACATTATTATATAATTTAACATTATTTTCACACCAAAACGCAAGAGGGCGCTCTAGGCATGTTTTGATAATTTCAACATTGCCGTTAACTTATGAAAACAACTGAGAAAGGCTTAACAAAAATGGCTCTTAAAAGAAAATCCTATCCTGCAAATTACAAGCTGCAAGTAAAAAAATTTGCGTCCGAAAACGGTAATCGAGCCGCAGAAAGAAAATTTGGAGTTGGTGGAGTTGTTTAAAAGAGATACAGAGGATAATGTTAGCTTACTGTACAATTATTAAGCCGGTTGTTGCCTCTATTCTATTTTTATTTTAAATTCCCTTTCAAAATGACATGTCTGTTCTGGGTGTTGGATTTTATCAAATAAATTTCCCCCTAAAATGCGACCTATGCACTTTAATGATTGGTGCGACATGTAATCCGGAGCGATTTATAACCCAGAAAATACGGTAGATGAATCTACATAAAATGTGAGTTTTTTGATTTATTAGAATTGATTAGAATGTGATAATTTAAATTAAAAAAAATTTAATCAAATCCACAATATTGTTTTTTAACTTTAATTGTATTCTCCTTCATTGAGATTCACTTGTACAGTCAGGTATATGAAACATAACTTTAAAAGGGAAGAAAAAGAACCTTAAAAGTCAAAAATCTTAGATAGATTTTCATATGAAGTTGGTACATCTAGCTGCTACATTTCCTCTTCAAACTGTCCGGCAGTTTATGAATGGGACAGTTGGAAATATTGCTTACAGTATTTATAAATCAAGCATGCTTTTTGCCCCCACCTCCTGTTTTTCCTGTAATGCTCCTGCAGCCCATCAGCCTGATTACCTGCCGAAAAAGGCTTTACAGACAGACAGGCCCGATACGGTCTGCTGTGCATTAAATCTTGATTTCGACACCGATTTGTACAGGAGTCTTGCAGGCAGAATGTGTAAACATGAAAAGCAGAGATTCAGAGTTGCACAAGGTAACTGTGCCTAAATTAGAGCAGGGTTAATTGTGAGCCAGCAGCATCTGGTTCATGTAATGAACTCAGTCATGAGGGAGCTGTAACTGTAAATGCTTGTTTTGTTGTATTTTTGGGTAGTGTGTTTCCAATCTTGTTTAAGCACTTGAGCTTTGATTACCCGCCAGTTCCTTGAAATAAGGGATTTCCTAATCAGGGTTTTATTTTAAGACTTTTTAAGCTTAGTAAACTAAAGTGTAAATTAGACATTTAAAAGATATCTTTTTTCTCCAGAGAAAAAGATAATATTTCTTTGGTTCCTGTTGATTGTTTTTTTTTTTTTTTTTTTGAGAATTGTGAAACAAAAGAAAAAATATTTTATAGTGATAATGTTTATATAAAATTACCATGGCCAAGGATGCCATTAATGTTTGACTTTGAATGAATAATGGAAGCCATATTTTTCCAGGGATAAATAAAAGTTAATTCTATATTTTAAAAGCAAGAACTGTTGAAGTTGTTTGTTTTCTGAAATCCTATGAGGTTACAATATATATATATATATATATATATATATATATATATATTAGTGCTGTCAAAATTATCGCGTTATTAACGCTATAACGCGAGGCCATTTTAACGGCGATAATTTTTTTAACGTGAGATTAACGCTATGTGGTACAATTTTCCAAGTACATCCCGCTGCAGCCTGCGAGAAGGCGGGGCTATTTTCCCCCAGTCTATGCATTTCTCATAGGCTTCGAGAGCGGAGCTCCTCAAGGGAAAAAGACGCTCATACACTGGGTGACGCTAGTGCCTTTTCTTTAAGCCCCACCACCAACAAACAAGTTGAGTGTCTGGTAACTAGTAGCAACCTGAAATACGCTGACAAAACAGATTACTGAGCTGAAATGGAATCTGCTACGGCACTCTCGCCGTCTGTGTACGCCACAGGTCAGTATCGCGTGTGTGTGTGGGTGGGTGGGTGCTTGTGTGTGTGTTCTCATTTTTGTTAAGAGTCTGAAAAGTAACTTTCTAGAGCATAGACTACCTCCATCTAGTAATGTCGGTCTATTGATTTTGATGTATTGATTGAAAATTGTTCATTATTATCTTGGTTAATTAACATCTAATGTTAACTCTACTGCATTTTATAGCAGTAGGGTAAAATGCTTGTCTTTGTTCAAAAGACTGTATTAACTGTAAAGACTGTCTTTTACATCAGCCTGTTTTCAGGGCCTTTTTTTTGCCTACATATTTGTTATTTTTTGCTACATGCCTCCCCATCTTCTTGCCATATGTTTCTATGGCATAAATCAGTATCTGTGACCTGTTCTCATTTAAAAAAAAGAACATTGGCACAAACCTAGCCTGTATGTTTTTTTTTGTATGTCATCGAGAGTATTTAAATGATTTTCAATCAGGAAAAAAATGTGCGATTAAAATGCGATTAATCGCGAGTTAACTTAGGCATTGATGCGATTAATCGCGATTAAAAAAATGTAATCGATTGACAGCACTAATATATATATATATATATATATATATATATATATATATATATATATATATATATATACACAATGGCAAACCAACCGTACATTGTGGTGGTAGACAAAAAGCAAAGGAAAGTCATTGTGGTTGACATAGCAACACCAAGTGACTGCAACTTCAGGAAAAAGGAACTTGAAAGAGAAATACCAGGGGCTCAGAGAAGAGCTGGAGAAAGCCTGGAAGGTCAAGGCATCAGTGTTAACTGTGGTCATTGGGGCACTCGGGGCAGTGACCGCCAAACTTTAAGAGTGGTTACAGCAGCTCCCTGGAAATACACCAGACATCTCGTTCCAGAAGAGTGCAGTTCTAGGAACAGCAAAGATACTGTGCAGAACCCTCAAACTCCCAGGCCATACCCGAGCTTGGAGGAAAAAGGGGGGATGGCTTGCCCATTTCTCCTTATGCATGCTCTGTTTAAAAGTTGCTGTTATTATAGGTCATACAAGCTTACTGTGCCTGAAAATCCGCCCTAACCCCCAGATCCCTTAATCACTATAGAGAGCGAAGACTATATAGTGGACTTTATAGTGAAGTTAGCTGTCTGTTCGGACAGATTATCACTACTTTTTGCTCCCAGTTGGTCCCACATCTCCTCCTCAAACATGCAGGGTCTGTGCCATCTTTGTTATAAGTCGCTGCTGTCGTGTAGCGATAATGGGCCGCTGTGATAGCAAATCCCATAATGCTTTGCAAGGAGAGCTCTCCGTGCAAAGTATGCCTCTTCCGAGGCCTTTTTTTTGTCTTCGTATATACTTCGTAGACACTTTTTCGCTTACAATCCTCGGCCGTTTTCAAAGAACCTCGGTGAAAAAGGTGAGCTTCAATGACTGAAGCCGTAGCCCAACACATATATACGCCTGAAAAGTGTGCATGAACAAAAAAAGATGGGGACGAGCATGTAGGACGGCCTTACCTAAACATATCACCAGAATGACTAACAATTAGGAGGACCACTTATTTTGATGATCCACCCAGAAATGAAAGAGTTACCTTTAACCTTTTCTTTCTATAGCCAACAACATGCATCTGGCCCATTGCAGGTAACTGACCTCTTTTCTAGGCAGAAGAGGTACATTTGAATCCCTTCAGATGGAACTGGGTTCAAAGAATAGTCTACAACCATTCAATTGGATTGTAAAAGCCTAACTATACATCCTAAAGCCATTTGTGAGTCATTGCCCTGTTAAAACACAGAATTATCTCTAAATCAGATCCAAACTTTCAACCTGAATAGACAGGAAATGGCTATAAATTGGAAGATGCTGAACTGCTATGTCAGTGAATTGAGTTTTCCATAAATTAGTCAGATGGCACCAAACAAGAGCAGACACCTTCAAACCCGATTGGACTTTGTAGACGACTGATTAATGCCTCCTCCAGAAAAGCTTTATAGGAAGACAAACGGAAATATATATATTTGGGCTCAGTGACAGGAAATATGATCATTGAATAAAGTGAAGTAAAAATGACATTAAATAGAAACAAACAGAAGTAAAATAGGCTGACGCATACAACTATCAAGCTTGGGGGTTCCAGCATTGTGCTGAGCAGAAGTGGATAATCCAGGTCCATAAAATAAAAATCCCCTACCCTGGTTAGTTTGAGTCATCCGCATTTCCAGTTCCTTAACATTGACAGGAACTAGTCTCCTGGTTAAGCTAAAAGGGATGAAGAAAAACTGTTGTGTTCGATTGTGCTGCCATTGTTGGTGTGTTTCACAAACTGGAGGGATTCCCTCAAAAGTTAAACCTAGAATCTTAAATGTATGACAATTTATTGTTCCAAAAGGATAAGGGTCCTGAACACACATTAGTGGAAACACAGAAGTCAACAAAGACATGAATAAGTGAGGATAATAACTTCACTGGCCTGCAAAGACTCCTCGACTTTACCCAAAAGAGAAAAAAATGATGTCTTTAGAAGATTGGTAGCAATTCCCATAAACACACACCTCAACCTCGTGGAACGTCTTCCCAGAAGGTCTGAAGCTGGTAAAGATTAAAAGTGTGGGCAGACTTCCACTGAAGTATGAAAATATTTTACATGATAAGAAATGTTTGAAAGGTTAAGACAGAGCTTTTCTACACACATGTATGACATTGTAAATTAAAACCATACATCTTCTGGATATTTTTTTTACTTTCTGTAAACACGAGTCTCCCCCCCCCCACCTAATGGCCTCCCCCACACTCTGTTATGTGTTCTGTGTTATGTAGCAGCCTAACAGTCTGGGGCCAAGTTAATCTGACAGCTTCCAGCGTGAGTCTTCAATGGATGATCACGCACACACATCTTGTCTCCCGAGTTTTTTCTTAGGAAGTTGACTCATGCTGCGAGCAGCACTAGTCAGGGTTAGCGTGCTGCACCCCAGCTGTTTCAGGCGTTTCCTGCTTTTCTTTCCACACACTCAATTAACTTTCATCAGCTACCAAAGACCTCCACTCATTAATTTGTGGAATTGCTGGCTTTACCAGAAATTTGTCAGATACTTAATATTTCTGCTGAAAAGTGTCCAACTTTGAACCTCACAATTTACAGCCTTCCTTTTCATCCTCTTTTTTTTTACTTTGAATCTCCTCTACTGCCTTCTCAGATGCTTCATCCCCTTTATTTAAATTCTCCTCTCTTTATCATCCTTCATGCTCTTTCATTGCCTCCCCCTCCTCTCTAGATTGATCATATTTAAGCGTTATGCAGGGCTATCCTGATTCTAGTGCAAAGCTTAAACCCATTGCAATATTTTCAGAATTACTACCCTGAAGGGGGAAACAACAACAAAAATGAAGTATGTGAAAGGATACTCTAAGAAATAGATTTAATCTGATAGGGAAAGGAGGTCTGAGCGGCACTGACGTGTTGCTAGGCAGTGCAGTGATTATGAAATCATACTGGGGATCATTATGTAACAGCACACTCATGTTTCCCCTGAACTCTTTGTCATCCTGTCACTGACAGCGCTGTAAGTAAAGATTAAATACTGCCAGTAAATAAATGAAAACAAAGCAACTGTAACCAGATTCAGAAAGTGATTTAAACATTGCAGATTTTTATTTCTTTTCCAGCATACGAGTAGGGATGCCTTCTAAATCTCCCAGGGTCTGATTGTTGGATTGCGGTAATGCCTCATATAGGCCCCCTTTGGGCAGGGTTTGATGGGTGGAAAGCGTCCGAAGGGTTTGGGCAGACCGAGCAGGTCGTTCTCAGGAATGTACGCGTTGGGTCTGGCTTCTGCCGTGGTGTAAACTCCATTTGGCAGCAATCTCCACTTACTTTCTTCAGCAAGCTGTATACACAGAAAGAGCCACACCCCAGAGAGAGACTTAATATTTAATTTAAGATTGCATGACCTTGAATTAAATATCTAAATCAAAACTTTCATGAAACATAATCAAGGAAATTAAAAACGAAAAAAAAGCATATGCAAAGAAGTTCATTTTTTTAATGAATCTTCACAAACAGCTGAGTGCTTGAGCTGAAAATAATGAGGCTGATTACAGTTACAGATAACAGGGAAGTTTTAGAGGAAGCAGCCAAAGACGTTCTTGGCCAGCAACCTGAACAGCTTCTCTCTCCAGAAAACTTATTCTAATGAGATTTACTGCAAGACAAGCCAGCTGGATTAATTGGTAAATTCAACTAGCAGAAACAAATAATTTACGGTGCTCCTGGCTCTTTGGTCTGGTCTGCAACCGATGTAGACACATCTGGACCAAACTATGTAGGACCTGTAACTGTTTATTCGCACTCCAACTAAAAACTGCCAGTAAGAGGGCAACCTCTGGCCTGATGCAGTAGATATTTGGCTGTGGTTGTCAGAATTTAGAGATTTAGCAAGTAGTTACTCTTTATTCAAATAGATTATAAGAATTTTCCTTTACAAATATAGATGGCAACAAGATAAGTCATTATAAATCAGCTAGAAAACCGAGACAACCAAGCACTGCAACATACACAGCAAACATTTTTAAATGATTACTTGCTGACTGAGCCAGTTAAATGCAGAAATCTAAAGGATCTTTAAATAGTGCATTTGTACACACAAGGGATTTAGATTTAGCTTTTACTGTCCTTAAGGTAATAGCTTTAACACTCTGTGTGCAGGATTTGAGAGATCTGCAGAGACTTTAGCTTCAATTTTGTGAATTTAGACCTAAACAAGGCGGCGGTGGGAAGGTCAGGCCTGCTGATCCTCTCTCCAGAATTTGATCCTCACATCATATTATTTGTTGCAGTTTTGACATTTCCTGTTTGGTGGACGAAACAAATGAGAAAGTGATGCACAAACACTGGGCTGCCTGAATAAGGAGAGTATAGAAACTGAACAGCAGCTCCTGCTAAATGTGGTCGTCCATGAGCTGCCACAGGAATTACAATCTGTAACGTGTCTACCACCTTTTTATGGAGCAATCACAGCTCCATAAAAAGTGGGTCCATGAAGCCAGACAGATTGAAAGTTTTAACATATTAAGGTTGGTTAGAGGAGTTTGTATGGGAAGGTGATTTCCACTGTTTTGAGCTGGTTAAGCTCTAGATGGTTCTCAACACCCCAATGGGACAGGTGATTCTCTTCCTTTATTTAATAGTAATCAATCTCCCAAGCTCAGAACAATAACAGCAGTAACATCTACAAACCCCAGGAGTTGATTGGGTTGAAGCTTTTGATCCAGAAACAGATCCTGGGACCTCACTATAAGTGAGAGAAAAAGCCCTAAATTTAAAGAAAGTATGGTGAATAATTAAAATGGGAAATAAAAATGTATTTATTTTTAACAAACTTTTTAGATTCTGCTCACCAAATGTTTTGTGTGTGCACTGAATATGTGCCTGGGAATCCTTTCATTAAGTTCCAACTGCCAACAGTTCATACTGTATATGAAACATTAACATGGAGCTGCTCCCAAATCAATCCTATTTAATGCTAAAAATCTGATGTCTTTATTATAGCAAAATAGAAGAAGATAGTTCTTCAGGTTATTTTAATTGTGGCAGAAAAAGTTGCTTCCGACTTTAATGATGCCAGTAGAAAGGTACACACAGCGGAGAAAGTGGCAGACAAATCCAATGCAGGTGATGGATCACTGTCTATGTTGGATCCCAGGTGAGCAAGAGGAAGAAATCCACTTCGATTGTCCTTTTCTTGTGTCACTTCCTTTGATTTTCCAGCCCACAACAGCAGGCAAATAAACTGCTGTTAAATGTCACTGAACAGGTGCTTTAACAAAGCAAAGCTGTAAAACGCATGAAAATGATCCAAACAAGTTTTATATCATTCTAAATTTTTCGCCTTATGCTGGTAATAAATTTGTATTCTTTTGGAGGGGGGTGGGGGGTTGTTTTTTGACTAGCAGCAGGAAGCAGGAGGCAGCTGGACAGCTTTGATACGCATGTGATCCTTTTATATGTACCCCTTCTTTTAGCTCTCTGGTTTTCTGCTGGTGGCATTAATTTTTATTGAAATATACCATAACTTCCCATCTCAGCAGAATCCCAATAGATACCCTACACTGCATGTGAAAAAAAGCCTGCTCTTTCTTGCCTTGCAGTGTGCCTTTGAATTTCCAAAGGTGATTGTTTACCTTCTTTTCTTCCTTTTCCCTCTGCCTCCTCTTTTTGTCTCTCAGCATCCTCCTATACCCCTCCTCTATGTCGAGATATGGTGGCATTGCCTGACCAGCCTCCCACTGGCACTTGTCCATCTGGAAAAAACAACAAAAAAAAAGAGCAGGGGGAGAAGCATTGACTTTACTTTGCTTTCAGGCTCGATTCAACTTTTGGCCAAAGCCATAAACAGATGGCTGCCTCAGTATCAGAATGTGGGTAACTTCACAGCTCTCCATCTTTTACCTCAGGGTTCAAGCGGTGTGCTGCAGGCATGCATCAGCCTGAGCAATTCTGCGGGGTATTAACACAAATCTTTTAAAATATTTACAGCGCATGTAGGGAATCCACAAATTTTTACTTGCTGAAATATTTATAAGGGCAGAAAGCAAACACTGCTTGAATTTCTCCGTTTCATTCTAGGGCAATGATTTGAATGCTCTTTTACCTTCTCCTAAAATGTATTAACCTGAAGTCAACATACGATGTTTCTATGAAAGAATGAACTAATAGTGTGAACATGCTGAAGTGATATTTGGAAAATGAAACCTAAATATATGGCTTGCAGGATTACAAATGCATCTTTTAATGACAGGCATCATATTAATTTAAATGGTCATTATGTAAAAAAAGCTAGAGATAATGGAAGCACAGGAATGTTTAGGTTGCACATCTGTACACATGAGCAGAATGTGGAGCATGTAAGCAACTGGGACCTCATCCGACCTGCAGACTCCTCTCTTTGACCTTTACTGTTTGAACAAAGCGGCCACCTGCTTTCAGCTGCAGGGTCAAGCAGGAAAAAAAAAAATTCATCCTTGTTAAGTGATTCTCATTGAGACTCAAGTCCAATGAAAAAATAAAAGCACTCTCAGCTATCAGACAAACTGCTAGATGTCATATGCACATGATAATCTGACATTGAAAGACATCAAAATAATTTGTCATTCTGGTCAGATTGGAAAGGAAGATAATTGCAGTGCCCTGCAAATATTTTACCTTAGGTCAAAGAGAAAAAAGCTCCCTTAAATTGAATAGGGAGCATTTATAAAAAAACAACCCAAGTCTCCATTGGATTTTCTCTAGCATTTCCATGTTTTTATTTGTATCCATGTCCCGAAGACGCCCTGCAGCACAACTCTTCCGTTACAGTGTTTGTTGTTGGAATCTGTGAGTGAAATCTGTTTATTTTATGCCTTAGGATTTTGGTCTCATACGATTGGATGAAATAGCTACATTTTCTTTCTCAATTTTAGTAGGGAATGCAATTTTAATTTTTGTCTTGTCATTCTGTTAAAACAGAAAATGTTTTGAGTGCACAACTGAAAGCTGCGCTATAAAAATATTCTCCCACTTAGGCCGTGGTTCTCTGCAGCTTCCTTTTTCCATGTTGGAATGATAAAAGGGACACTTTATTTAAAAAAAAAAGTTTAGGATTGATTATATTACTGTCACGATCAGCTTTGGCCCTTTGTCCAAATGATGTGATCAATAATGTTCTATAACACACCTCTATGGCTTTAAAATAAGAGCTGCATGTAAGCTGAGATAAAAATCATACAATTGCAAAACTTCAACTCCCTTATTAATTAGTTATGTTACATCCAAGGCAATGGATTGGATGGGATTTAATTTGAGAGTTTCAAAATAAAAGGAATTAAGCATTGAGTTGCATTGCTCATCACATAAAATCCCTTATATCATAAAGTTTGAGGTTGTAATATAACAAAACTCTACAAAATGGTGTAACCAAGCTGCCTTTGGCTTCTCCCTCTACATTTATGTCTTTCCAATTTTCTCCATACATGCACTAAGTCCATAATCTTCCACTATACTTTCCCACAAGACTTCCAATAAAGTTTTGCTAATTTTGCAAATTCCATTTCCATCCCATCCATCCATTTTTTGTCACGCTTATTCCAAGTGGGGTAGTGAGGTGGCTGGTGTCAAGCTGATCTCAAGCTGTCTAAGGGCAAGAGACGGGGTACACCCTTGACAGGTCACCAGGCAATCGCAGAGCAACACAGAGACAAACAACTATTCACACACGTAAGGAGAATTTAGAGAAACCAATTAACCTAACAGTCATGTTTTTGGACTGTGGGAGGAAGTCGGGGTACTTGGAGAGAACCCATGCATGCTCAGGGAGAACATGCAAACTCCATGCAGAAAGACCCCGGGCCGGGAATCCAACCCGGAACCTTCTTTCTGCAAGGCAGCAGTGCTCAGATTTTTACTTCATCACTCACATTATCTGTAGGTTCCTCCAAATTCTAAATGTAAAAAGAAAAAAAAACAAAAAAAAAAACATGTGTGCTACCTCACTCATGTTGGCTTGGATGGTAACAACTTCATATTAAACTTGAAGCTTAAAAGTGGCTGTCAAAAAGTAAAAAAAAAAAAAAAAGGATTCTATGCAGCCCACATGCATTTTTTATGTGAATGCTTTTGAGGAGTCAGTGACAGGAATGAAAAATACTGACAGGCCAAAAGACAGATCAGAGATGAGCAGCAATTCTCCTAAAAGTCGCCCTGTAATTATGACTGCAGACCATTCTATGGCACTCTAGAAATTTAAAATAAACTGTTTAAAAGAGTTCCATTAAAATCTGTTTACTTTCTTTGCCACAGAGAGACTGGGGAGCCTGCAGCTCTCCGCTTGCTCCCCTGGTGGCTCTGACAGCTGGGTCACCTGCTCCACCAGGAGTCCTTTTTCCAGCAGCTGACTCTCACGCTCCGCCACATTCACCTCCAGCTTCCGAACACAGAAGCAAATTAGCTGCCCGATTGCAATCTTGCTTTTAAAGTTCATAAGTAACGTTATAAATAAAAAACATTTGCATTTACCTCGTCCATTTTCTCCTCCAGTTCTGAAGTTAGCAGGTTTTCAACCTTTGACTCCCTGAATTCAAGGGTGCAATTCTCATTTTTCAGCATCCATTTTCTGGCTTCTGACAACTAAAGGATGCAGAAAATACAGTAGGTGTTAGAGGCAAAAAGACACAAGAGTTAAAATTTTTATGTTTATTGCTCTTTAAGGGCAATAAAAGTCTAGTTTCTCCATCAGCTCAGTGCTTCACCCTGCAGAAATTGAAGATACTTATTTCCTGGGATTAAAGTGATAACAAAACTCAACACCTTTTTCGCTGAATGTGGTGTGCGGATGGAAGCCCCTTCCTACTAGGTGAATAGTCTCTGGGAAAGAGCGATAAGAGAAACCAAATTTCAAAAAGCCTTGAGATCCCTCAAAGGGATTAAGAATTTACCATCTTGACATGCCTTTAACAGAGCAGAAAAGGAAGGGGAAGTGTCTATCAGTAAAAAAAAAAAAATATATATATATATATATATATATATATATATAATAATGTCAAAAATCCATACATTTAAAGACTGTTATTTATTTTTTTCTTTTTCAGTTCTTGAAAACACTTTTTTTTTTTAAATGGAACGTCGATAATTACTAATATAAACAAATAAAAATGAGACAAATACCCATTATTTTAAAACTATTATGAATATGTGCTAAAGAATAAATTAAAAGGGTGTGTAAAACGTTTGTTGCAAGGCAAATTTATTTTCCTACAGTCTTATCAGGAGCTGGAAACATTGGCAGATTTCAATCTTTTATACACATTTCCCAAGATTGTCAAGAAATTCTGATGAAATCTCTTGGAAAATGAGTCCAAAATAAATAAAAAAACCTGCCAGATGAAGACTGGACTGTTTAGAATGAAGCTCCCAGATGAAACTTTTAACCTCAAAGTGCTTTAGTCTGGCAGCAAGTGAGAAAGCGAGATGGAGGAGGTGAAAAAATAATGACATGACCAAAAGGTCAACATTGACTTTAGGAAACAGAGGTAAGAAAAATATGATTAAAAATCAACATTGAGATATTACATATCCATTAAACCAAACAAATGTATTCTACAGCATAACAGATGCATTACACAAGAGACTTTAACAGTATCTTATCTGTGATAATCTGCAGAAGCAGCTTGTCGGAAATATTATATCAGTCAATCACATGCCAGTAACTGGATCTATGGTGGAATAGGGATAACTTTCAAGAATCAGAAGGAGTAAGAAAAAGGCTTCAATTTAAGTTTTCATTTTAATTTAATTCCTGTGAATTTGTAAATCCTTAAATTTGTTTTTCCAAATTCTTGGTTGTCATGGTTACAAGGGTCACTAAGGATACAACTTTTAGATAGGTTACCAATGTCTGCATTTATTTTTCTTTTCAGTGACATATGGATGAATTTGAAGAAACTAATTGTCACATTCTCTCCAATTACAACACAATTAAATCGCAGAGATACCACTGACATCTGGCTGCAGGGCAGTTGTTAAATATTAATACAGATTCCTCACTGCTTGCACTTTTTAATGCATCCACTCATTTCTCTGCTCCCACAGTTATTTTTTCACCATCAGTGTTACATTTTGACAACTGCTTTAGATTTCTTTTTATACCATGTTCACCTTCTAAATTAGTTTTCCTATGAAAATAATCTGCATAGATAAAGTGATGACAAGGCTCTAAATGGATGCCGTTAGACTGTGGTACTAACTTGCAGACTTAGGCCTAATGTGCACCATGTGAGTGACCAGGATCTCAGCTGACCTGCAAGTCTTTTTCCTTGATTTGTTGCTGCTCAGACAAAGCAACCGCCTCCTTCATGGAGAACTCTGCAGAAGCAGCCATCAAGGAAAGGTTGATGTTAATCATGTTTGTGCGGGTTTCATTCAGCTGGAAGAGGGGAGGAGAAAAAAAAGCACACATGCAGGGAAGAAGGCAAGCATTAGATTCCTCAAGCACTTCATGACACCAACAGAGACAGGTTATAAAAACAGTTTGCTTTATACTGTTGTTAAGGTAAACGCATGGCATTTATAGTGCACTGCAAAAGTATTCACACCCCTCTACATTTGTAACATTTGGATTTTAAGCAACAAACCCACACAACGTAGAGGACAGCTGGACTGGAATTAAAGGATACATGCTTTTCGAAGCTTTTTAAAAGTACACATAGTAATAAGCCGTTTCCTATTTGCATTTAGGTCCTTTTGGATCAACATTATTAAACTAGCTTTTGATTAAAGTAAGTGCTACAAGTCAAGTGCTACAAACAGGTTTGCAGTTCAACAGACATGCTTTTAACCAACCTTTTTTCAATAAAGTTCATAAATGATTGACAGAGATGATCTGTTAATATCCACTTTAATTATTTTAAGGATTCTCAATTGAATTACGGCCAATTATCCATCTATCTATCTATCCATGCATTCATCTATTAACCCTTAAAGGGACGGCACAGTAGATCTAAAACCCAGCTGACACACCACCATACTATAAACATTTATATTTTTCAACATAAATCCTTCCTTTGTAGCTCTACTAGTATGTTTGTTGTTATTCTGCTGGAATTGTAACCTGACTTTCCCGCTGGATTACCTTGGATCTTTCCCAGCATCAAGTTTTGGTCTCACATGATCCAATAAATGTTCCACACATCACACTTTTTCCAAAAGAACCGGTCATTGCAAAACTATAAATTGTTCTCCTTTCAACAGAATTGATTGCAAGCACATTTTAAGACAATTAAAACATGCACCTTTATTTCCAATCCACTATTATGCACCAAGGTGTATAATCTATCACATACAATCCCAATAAAAGCAGTCAAACTAGCATTGTGAGAAAACTTTGCTTTTGCAACATCATTTGATTGAAAAGTAAATTGTTGAGAAAGACGTAGAAGTAACTTTCTCACATTTTTTGTAGGTTCATTTCTCTTACAAATCATACTTTAAAGAAAAAAAAAGAAAAAAGAAACGAAAAACAGAATGGTACTGCAGTCGCTCCAGTCATGTTGGCTCAGATGATGACAGCTTAATGATAAACTTGAAGCTTCAAAGTGGCTGTCAGAAACTAAAAAAGGGATGTCATGTGGACCACATCCATCTTTTATGTCTATGCTTTGAAAGAGTCGGTCACAGGGATGAAAAATACTAATAGAGCAAAACTCAGATCAGAGACGAGCTGCAATTCTCTTAAAATTTGCCTCGAAAACTGGGACTGCTTTGAATTTAAAATGTTCTTACAGTCTCAATTTGTTTCAATTTTGTTTAAATCTGTTTATATGAGATCTATTAACTTCTTCCAGTGGATCCCGGCTACCTTCTTTGCCACAGAGAGACTGTGGAGCCTGCAGCTCTCCGCCTGCTCCCTCAGTGACTTTGACAGCTGGGTCACTTGCTCCACCAGGAGTTCTTTTTCCAGCAGCTGACTCTCACGCTTCGCCAAATTCACCTCCAGCTTCAAATGCACAAGAACACAAAAAGAAATTAACCACACGACTGCAGCCTTGCTTTTAAATTTCATGAGTCAAGTTATGCATGTACCTGCTTCATTTTCTTGACTAGTTCTGAAGTTGGCAGATCTTCGCCCTTTAGCTCCCTGTACTCAAGGGTGCAATTCACACTTTTCAGCGTCTTTTTTCTGGCTTCTGACAGCTAAAGGATATATATATATAAAATAGGTGTTAAAGTAAAAAAGAAACAAGCATGAACATTTCTTTATTTTTATCTGTTTAAGGGCAGCAAACGTCTATTTTTTCCAGAGCCGAGTGCTTCACTGTGGAGAAAGTGAAGATGTGTGTTGCTCTGGGATTAAAAAGTTACCAAAATTCAACACTTGTCTTTGCCAAATGAAGTGTAGGGAGGGGAGCTTCCTCCCACCAGGTGACAAGTCTCTGGGAAAGAGCGATAAGAGAAACCAAAGTTAAAACAGCTATGAGATCCCTCAAAGGGATTACTTTTTTTTTGTTTCCTGACATCCCTTAAGACAGCAAAAATGAAAGGAGGAAGCAAGTCTAAGTGAGAAAGCTCAAGGAAGATGAGTCAAAAGAGCTAGAGAGAGAAAGCGGAGAGGGGCAGGGTGGACGTTTTAGATTCAGGCCCTCAGTTGACACTCTTCTCCCGAAAGTGCTGCAGTCAGTCTGAGAGTGAGGGAGGGAGATGGAGGAGGTGAAAATCGCTGACATCACTGAAAGTTTAACTGTCTAAATCAACTACAGGAAATCGAGGCGTAAAAAGCAGCAGATGCCAGGAGTCACAGCAGTGTCAACATTGCAACATTATTTTATTTAATTACTTACAACAAACACTTCACTCTAAAGCCTTTCTGTTTGTTTCTAATTGGGAATGGAACCAATCCATGAAGTCTGATGATTCAAACTTGATTTAATTGTGTTGCTACAGACCTTGCTTTATCTGAATTAAGCCTTAGTGTTTAAGTTTCAACCAAATATTCATTAAATAAAATAAAACCTTAACTCTGGCCACTTTATTAGCCATTTTTAGTGACATAGTAACTGCAGCTGAGTTCATCACATCAAAACCTGATGCTGATTTTGAAGTCAAACATTTTCCCTTTTTCAGTAGATACCCAATTAATTTAAACACATAAATTTCAGTGAAAGTGTAAAGTTTATAGAAAAGGCAGAGTGGTTTTAGAAGTTAAAAAGACAATCAAACACAGTAAATACACCCACTAGAGCCAATATATGCAGAATAACATCTCTTAATGTACAACATGGGGAATTTGGAACAGATGGACTAAAGAAGCAAAAGACCACACCAGATCTTCTGCTTCGAGACTCCCACAACCAAAGCTGAACAGCATTGGTAGCATCTGAATAGCTGATTATCTATACTTAAAAATAGATATCTGGTTTAGACAGAAACAGAGTACAGTCTGCTGAATGACATCCAGCTTCTGCATGTTTACACAGCCAAGGATGGAAGCTATGGAGGAAAATCTAAAGGAAAAAAAGACCAACATTGATAGGATTTCTTCCCAATTTTGTTGAAACAGGAGTAGCTCAGAGTTATGGAATCTATAAACCAAAAGCTGTAATGCATACGCAATATTTGGTCCATCTTTAAATATATCGATGAAGCAAAATACAGTATTTGTGGAAGTAGTAAACAAGATTTCCACACTTTTTGTGTTGCCTTACTGTATACCAGCAAGATCAACTGATAACCCAATTGTATATTAGAAACAAGAAGAAAGAATTGAGCTCTCCTTCCTTTCAAACTGAATCAGATACATCATTTAACCAGTGGCTATATCACATCCAAACTGTTAATTTAAATTCACATGGCCTGACTACATCCAAATAAAGGTATTATATAAAAGCTTGTATAGGAATCTGAGGTTATCAAGGAGCTAATTACAGCAGTAGAAAGTATATATATATATATATATATATATATATATATATATATATATATATATATATATATATATATATATATATATATATACACTATATTGCCAAAAGTATTTGCTCACCCATCCAAATTATTGGAATCAGGTGTTCCAATCACTTCCATGGCCACAGGTGTATAAATTCAAGCACCTAGGCATGCAGACTGTTTTTACAAACATTTGTGAAAGAATGGGTCGCTCTCAGGAGCTCAGTGAATTCCAGCGTGGAACTGTGATAGGATGCCACCTGTGCAACAAATCCAGTCGTGAAATTTCCTCGCTCCTAAATATTCCACAGTCAACTGTCAGCTGTATTATAAGAAAATGGAAGTGTTTGGGAACGACAGCAACTCAGCCACGAAGAGGTAGGCCACGTAAACTGACGGAGCGGGGTCAGCGGATGCTGACGCGCATAGTGCGAAGAGGTCGCCAACTTTCTGCAGAGTCAATCACTACAGACCTCCAAACTTCATGTGGCCTTCAGATTAGCTCAAGAACAGTGCGCAGAGAGCTTCATGGAATGGGTTTCCATGGTCGAGCAGCTGCATCCAAGCCATACATCACCAAGTGCAATGCAAAGCGTCGGATGCGGTGGTGTAAAGCACGCCGCCACTGGACTCTAGAGCAGTGGAGACGCGTTCTCTGGAGTGACGAATCGCGCTTCTCCATCTGGCAATCTGATGGACGGGTCTGGGTTTGGCGGTTGCCAGGAGAACGGTACTTGTCTGACTGCATTGTGCCAAGTGTAAAGTTTGGTGGAGGGGGGATTATGGTGTGAGGTTGTTTTTCAGGAGCTGGGCTTGGCCCCTTAGTTCCAGTGAAAGGAACTCTGAATGCTTCAGCATACCAAGACATTTTGGACAATTCCATGCTCCCAACTTTGTGGGAACAGTTTGGAGCTGGCCCCTTCCTCTTCCAACATGACTGTGCACCAGTGCACAAAGCAAGGTCCATAAAGACATGGATGACAGAGTCTGGTGTGGATGAACTTGACTGGCCTGCACAGAGTCCTGACCTCAACCCGATAGAACACCTTTGGGATGAATTAGAGCGGAGACTGAGAGCCAGGCCTTCTCGTCCAACATCAGTGTGCGACCTCACAAATGCGCTTCTGGAAGAATGGTCAAAAATTCCCATAAACACACTCCTAAACCTTGTGGACAGCCTTCCCAGAAGAGTTGAAGCTGTTCTAGCTGCAAAGGGTGGACCGACGTCATATTGAACCCTATGGATTAGGAACGGGATGTCACTTAAGCTCATATGTGAGTCAAGGCAGGTGAGCAAATACTTTTGGCAATATAGTGTATATATATATATACACACACTTTTATGACAGAAAATTCTTGACACAACAGACAAACTGAAAATATCTAAGAGAATTAGAGGAAGGGAGAAAGGCAAAAGCATGAAAAAGAGATCAGTCAGATATAAGACAATGAACAACAGGCTGACTTTCTGCTTAGCAGTGAAGCATTTCAAGCATTTTAAATCAGTGTAGATTAAGTGAATATTCAATGGTGTTAATAAAAAATTTAAATAAAAATTTAACTTGCAAAAAAAAAAAAAGCTGCAGAGCAGAGGAGGTTGACAATCAAGAGACTTAAAAACACAAAATACGTCAACAGGCAGGCAGTGCAAGATAAGGTTGAATAAAAGTGAAATGTATGAAGGGTAACATTCAGAAGAGCAGTGCAGGTGAAAATCCATGTAAAAGGGCTATCTGCAGTTTATGCTGAGAACAGGACACCTGAAGCTTGTTAGTGTGAAAGTGCCCCTCTGGTAACAATTTTTGTGAATTCAAAATGATGCAACATTTCGAGCGAAAATGTTTTCAGATGGAGATGCAAATGCAGAGTGTAGAATACATAGTTGTATTATTCAAATAACTCTGAATATTTGCATACTTTCTCCCATTTCACAGGGAGGTGAAACCCTTTTGGGGACATCCCTGCAGAGTTGGCATACAAGGCTCAGTCAGGCATCACAGATTTTAAAGGCATTCATTTGTTTTACTGTTGCTGTCTCTATTGCATGCAGGGTGATGAAAACTTGTTTTTTTTTCTGTGTTGATAGGTCACTAGTTACATAAAAAAGAAAGCCCAGAAAAGGAATTAAAAAAAGCTTTTCTAAATCCCAAACTCCTAATTAGCATAGCAAAAATGTAACCACGGTAATAAATACAGTTCTACATTTTAAGGCGGTCAGTAACTAGTAACACATTTGCACACACCTCCAGTTACCAGATTACAGTTTTCTAACTTTTGCTGTTTGACCAAAAAATAGCTGGAAGTAAAGCCTGCAGGGATTTGTTCTGGGTCCACAAGGTAAATAAATAATGACTCTTTTACATTTTCTCTCCTCTGTAGTCAACCTTTCAGTTTAGCTTTACCATCTCCTCCTGGAGCCACTGAGCACACGCTGAGGCAGCATCAGCCCCACAAATAGCAGCACACAAGATGATATTTTAATGGATTTGAATATTTGCAGAAGAAAGGACCTTTCCCCAACACTGACTGCTCTTAAAATGTTAAAATAATGTTAGGCTACCATTTGGAAACAGTTTTATTAAAACTGATGAACAAATCGTGTGTAAAAAGAATGATTAATTAAAGTCTGTACATCTTTATCCATATCTTGAAAAAGACTATACATGACACTGAGTTCATAAAACCAAAAAAGGGGAGATGCCTTCAGCATCATTATGTTAGAAATATGGAAAAACATTTTTTTTTATAGAATCTCAATTGATAACAATCCAGTCAAGGTTTGATCAATGCCTATATATTCCATTTTTTTTCTAATATAAAAAGCTAATTTTTTTTCCTAAAAATATGTGTATAAAAAAAACAAAAAAAAACCCCTTCCTCACCCATCCCGGGTGGTCTTCCTCCAAGCTTTATTAGATGCCTGGGAGCTTACCTCCTTTGGAGGCGTTTCCCACTTTGACCCTAAGGTTTCCAGCCCATACTCTGCACAGATGCTCCAGTACACTAAGCCAGCCACTTTGTATTGGCGCTCCATGTAAGCTTTCCCTGCCAGCATCTTATACCTTGCAGTTCTGTGCTGGATTGTTTCAGGGGCCTCTTTGCACAGTCTACACCTGGGGTCTTGTCTGGTATGGCAGATCTGGGCCCTGTAATGATCTTGGAAATTATGACTGGCTTAATGGTTCATTCTATCCCCCTGTTCATCTCATCCAACAGCTCCTGCCTCTTTTTAAGCTGCTTCCTCCAGTCAT